AAATTCGCTCCGCGCTCCAGCTTAATAGCGTGTTTTCGTCCCGCGACCCCGCCGTTTTATTTCTTAATCTCGCGAAGTTTTATTTCTTAAACTTTGCCCCGCGCCCTCGCTAATTAGCGTGTTTTCGCTCCGCGCCCCCGCCATTTAAACTTGTTACTTTTCGACGTTTCGCTTGACGGGGTCGCGAGGCGAAAACACGAATGGCACAAATCAGCCTCCATATGGGCCCGTATTCAGAAACGGTACGTCTCCACTTTACTACAAATAACACGAAACACTAACTTATATTTCGCCTAGTAGCGCTGCACAGTAGCTACGAGAGACCGTTTATTAAACAAAAACCATACAAATATATCAATATAAGTTACAAAAATGTGTATATATATATGGCAATGAACTAGATGTTTATAGCATGTTTAATGATCCGAATCATCGGAAAACACGACGTCCAGGAAAACAAACAGAGAATGCTTCTCTTATAAAACTTGTGTCCAATTTAACAATTTCAGTGCCTTCCTCAGCGGTTTGTGTGGACTTTACACGAAAATATTAAATAATTTTAATTTTTATTTTAAATAATAAAATATCCTTATGACAAAATATTACCAAATTTTGCATTAATCAACCCATAATTAAAATTTCTTCTTTATAACCTTGAAAATTCGAAGCACGTGTTTATAATTAACTGGGGTATGTACACTTGAAACTGACGTCTACACAAACTAAACATACAAATCATTTCCATTGGTCAAGTTGCAACAAAGCAACCAAGCACTGGCAACTCTCTTACTAGCGGCGTATACAATCGTCGTGCAGACATAACTAACGTGGTAAAGTAAATCTCACCTCGAGTGACGCTTGAGTAGACTAACGGTAAATAACTCACAATTTGCAAAGTGGTATTCGTTTTGTTTACTCAGCCTTATCTCTGGTAGGGTGATAAAATAGCTTGCCAATTGGTTTTGTTGCATAACACAGCTCAATGCACATTGCAAATTGTAAGCCTAACGGTCAAGACAGTCCTCAACCTTTCGGTAAAGTGGTATTCAGATTATAAAATAAGTGTCGAGTGAACTCAGCAAAGTTGAAAATCTGTGAGATTATAAGAGTGCTACCTTGAGGTGTCCTCCATAAAATAATACTGAATACCACTTAGTTTTGAGTATTGATTTTAAATGAATTTCGTCCCATATACATTTTAGTGCATCATATACGCGAACTGACAGTTTTTTAAAACGAACGTTAGTCTACTCAAGCGTCACTCGAGGTGAGATTTACTGTACCACGTTAGTTATGTCTGCACGACGATTGTATACGCCGCTAGTAAGAGAGTTGCCAGTGCTTGGTTGCTTTGTTGCAACTTGACCAATGGAAATGATTTGTATGTTTAGTTTGTGTAGACGTCAGTTTCAAGTGTACATACCCCAGTTAATTATAAACACGTGCTTCGAATTTTCAAGGTTATAAAGAAGAAATTTTAATTATGGGTTGATTAATGCAAAATTTGGTAATATTTTGTCATAAGGATATTTTATTATTTAAAATAAAAATTAAAATTATTTAATATTTTCGTGTAAAGTCCACACAAACCGCTGAGGAAGGCACTGAACTTGTTAAATTGGACACAAGTTTTATAAGAGAAGCATTCTCTGTTTGTTTTCCTGGACGTCGTGTTTTCCGATGATTCGGATCATTAAACATGCTATAAACATCTAGTTCATTGCCATATTTACATACACATTTTTGTAACTTATATTGATATATTTGTATGGTTTTTGTTTAATAAACGGTCTCTCGTAGCTACTGTGCAGCGCTACTAGGCGAAATATAAGTTAGTGTTTCGTTTTATTTGTAGTAAAGTGGAGACGTACCGTTTCTGAATACGGGCCCATATGGAGGCTGATTTGTGCCATTCGTGTTTTCGCCTCGCGACCCCGTCAAGCGAAACGTCGAAAAGTAACAAGTTTAAATGGCGGGGGCGCGGAGCGAAAACACGCTAATTAGCGAGGGCGCGGGGCAAAGTTTAAGATTTACTTTACCACGTTAGTTATGTCTGCACGACGATTGTATACGCCGCTAGTAAGAGAGTTGCCAGTGCTTGGTTGCTTTGTTGCAACTTGACCAATGGAAATGATTTGTATGTTTAGTTTGTGTAGACGTCAGTTTCAAGTGTACATACCCCAGTTAATTATAAACACGTGCTTCGAATTTTCAAGGTTATAAATAAGAAATTTTAATTATGGGTTGATTAATGCAAAATTTGGTAATATTTTGTCATAAGAATATTTTATTATTTAAAATAAAAATTAAAATTATTTAATATTTTCGTGTAAAGTCCACACAAGCCGCTGAGGAAGGCACTGAACTTGTTAAATTGGACACAAGTTTTATAAGAGAAGCATTCTCTGTTTGTTTTCCTGGACGTCGTGTTTTCCGATGATTCGGATCATTTAACATGCTATAAACATCTAGTTCATTGCCATATATATATACACAATTTTGTAACTTATATTGATATATTTGTATGGTTTTTGTTTAATAAACGGTCTCTCGTAGCTACTGTGCAGCGCTACTAGGCGAAATATAAGTTAGTGTTTCGTGTTATTTGTAGTAAATGGGAGACGTACCGTTTCTGAATACGGGCCCATATGGAGGCTGATTTGTGCCATTCGTGTTTTCGCCTCGCGACCCCGTCAAGCGAAACGTCGAAAAGTAACAAGTTTAAATGGCGGGGGCGCGGAGCTAAAACACGCTAATTTGCGAAGGCACGGGGTGAAGTTTAAGAAATAAAACTTCGCACGGAGTGAGATTTAAGAAATAAAACGGCGGGGGCGAGGAGCGAAAACACGCTAATTAGCGCCCCCGCTAGTTAGTGTGTTTTCGTCCCGCGCCCTCGCCATTTTAACATGTTAATTATCGAATTTTCGCTTGGCGGGATCGCGGGACGAAAACACGCTTATTAGCGAGGTCGTGCGGCGAAGTTTTATTTATCTAAATTCGCTCCGCGCTCCAGCTTAATAGCGTGTTTTCGTCCCGCGACCCCGCCGTTTTATTTCTTAATCTCGCTCCGCGCCCCCGCGGGGTGAAGTTTTATTTATTAAACTTCGTCCCGTGCCCTCGCTAATAAGCGTTTTTTCGCTCCGCGCCCCCGCCATTTTAACTTATTAATTCTCGACTTTTTGCTCGGCGGGGTCGCAGGACGAAAACACGCTCATTAGCGGGAGCGTGAGGCGAAGCTTTATTTATTAAACTTCGCCCCGTGACTCCGCTAATTAGCGTGTTTTCGTCCCACGACCCCGCCATTTTATTTCTTAAATCTTGCTCCGTGCCCTCGCTAAACAGCGTGTCCGCCATTTAACCTTGTTAATTTTCGACTTTTCGCTTGGCGGGGTCGCGGGGCGAAAACACGAATGGCACAAATCATCCACCATAGGCCCAACAGGTAATAATGGAAAATGTTCAGGAGAAAATATAAATCCGCCTTGAACGTAAGAAAACAGCTCCCTCTTTTTTATATAAAATTCACGTTACAAGTAAATTCCGATAAATATTTACAGAAATTACTTTTGGCTACGTTGAATACTAGGTAAATTATAAACAAAATGCAAGCAACACGAAAATCATAAACATGCTTAAACACCTTTTGATTATTCAATATCAATAACACAGCCAAAGTCATCCGAGTGGAAATCCGGTATAAAATGCGCAAACACTTAAGTTACCAATCAATCCTGTAATGTGTCAATAAAGTTCCATTAGACGTATGAAGAGGAGTGGCCTAACCAAACTTAAAAAAAATCATAAAAGGGCCATAACTCTAACAAAAATCGTTTATCCAAAACATGCAGACGTTATGAACATCTAGATTTATTACTAATTATCATCTCTGTAGAGTTTGTATGAAATTGCACCAGTAGTTTCCTTGGAGTAATCCAGACAAGCTTCTGTGTAGCTGGCAACACAAAAATCATTCACAGACAAAAACACCTTTTATATTCAAAGGTCATAACTCAGCAAAAAATAATTTCCATCGGAAAACCCGTGTAATATCGCAAGTACTTGGGGTACCGATAATTCCTGTTAAGTTTCATTGAAATTGCATTAGTGGACAAACTTAAAAATAAAAAATCATTTAAGGATAATAACTCTGACAAAAATCAATAAACTGGAAAATCCTGACAATATGCACAACTATAGATTTGGCACTGATCTTTTATGTAAAGTTTGTGACGGACGTGCGGACCGACGAAGAAGTTATCCCTATATATCGCCGCTACTGCAGCAGACGACACAATAAATGAATCATTGCAATATGAAAAGAGATAAATTTATTTTTATAATTTACAATGATTATATGATACATATCTGTTCTACTCATTCTTAAGCGGCCTTCGTAACATTATTCTGCTTCGTTTTTATTTTGTGTAAATGCGTTATTCAAGAAACATTAATGCTCCTGATATTGAACTGACTATTTCCTTTTACGGACGTATACTAATGACTTTGTTTAGTGCAATATTTTGTCATGTGCAGAAGGCGCATGCGCGATAAGATAGTACTACATAGCAACAGAGCGTGGTGTAAAATGGTCTATATTTTGTTAAGGAATGCATAAACGTTCGTCCAATATGTTAAATTTGTTTATGGTATAAAAGCTGATTGTGTCTTAACTTTGATCGGTTCAATACTATACATAATTTATACACAATTACAGCTATCATTAAAACTTTTATCCTAACTACTATCGTTTTAATTTACTTTTTAAATAAGTAATTAATTATTATTCAAAATAATTGTATAGTTTCTCTATTAATAATATTTAGAAGTCACAGTGCTATATATTAAACAATATGTCTACTTTCGATTTTGCTATATTTTTAAAATGTAAACAACCCACTAAATTTTCTGTTGTCTGTTAATTTTCATTTTTTTTATAAGTACAACGCATTGCTTTAAATGACTGACAAGTATATGATAATACATTAAATTAATTTATTTACCTGCCTCTTCTTCTGATAATCCATACTCCTGAAAATTTATATCAGGAATTAATAAAGTATTTCCTTGTATTAAACCAGGAAGAAATATACATGATACAATCCGTACAATACCGATCGATATGTATTTATTTATAATCTAGTCGCATGGATATAAAGTAAGAAATCAGTTCAATTCGTACGTTTAATATTATAGTACACTAGTAGTAAAACTATAGATAAAATACTTTAAAGCCTGTTTTAACTTGAGTTAACATCTCTATATAGCTCTCTATAATTATCTTATTATTGAAAATGAAGTTGTAATTTACAAGCACGTGTTGTAAATCAGTATGAAAATAATGAGTGTTTCAAGAACAGTGTCATAACTTCCGATAACAATACGATAGCGTTTATCAATGAAGTATCAATGAAAACTGTTGACATGAATGAATAAAAGGTTAACATGAATCTCACAAGTTCAGATTTTACACAAAAAATAAGTTCAAAATATGACATACCAGTTAAATTGCACTACCATAGCTAGCAAAATAGCTGTAAACGACGTAGGGTTACATATATACGTATATAGTAGAATGAAAACTATTTTTCAGAATTAATTTAAACTTTGCATGATCTAGAATTATATAACAGAAACGCTGAATGTAAAGTTTAAATAAATTCTATTACGCAGTTTTCAATATGTTATATGTCTATATGCTATCATAGCATACGCCTTTTAACATGAATCAGATACTATGTCATTTCCTCTTGCATGTTGATATTTAAACATATTGAATATTCTAATGGTGACTCATGAAAAATGTTTATGATCCTACATTATAAATGACTGTCCTACTCTTTTTTAAGAATTGGGCGTTGCTGGTACATTTTGAACGATATTTATTGCACAGAAATATCCGTTGGTCAAGTGGATTATTTCATTTATTTATTTTTTTCATAGAAAGATATAAAATTGTACACAATTATTATAAACAGGTAATTTTCATTTTTACTTGTTTACCGACTATTTACACTTCGATGGGTATGTTACAATAGACATTTTTTGTGTGTTTTTAATTAGATATAACACATCATGAATAGTAATTTGATTTCTGGTTTTTTGTCTTGACTTCATAATATGAAATGTAATATTGCAATAAAGTCTTGCACAAATTAAACAAAAGAAAATACTTTTGAACGACAGGTATTTAAAATTTTGAAGTGAATTTAAATGTGTTATGAGAGAAATTGTATGTATTGATCGGTTCAATTACTAACACAAACCATTACAGCGATACCTAAACTGCGTACGGTTAAACCTATTTTGAAGTTATTTTTGTTAAAATTTAACGGAGTGTCTCGTTTAGTATAACCTTTGTTCTAAATATATAACAAACATCTACTATGGATATTGCTAAATCTTAACATTCTTAATTTTTGCAGTTATGTTTGAACAACACATTTAAAAAAGAAGAAAAAAACCCATTTCTTTTGAGTATTTGATAAAAATATTAAACAGCCAAATTACCTGCTATTTCATGTAATAATCCACATTTCTATTAAAACCAGTTATGAAATTCCTCGTATTAGACCAGGAAGAAATTTGCATTGCACATGTGCATATGGCATAGATATGACCTTTAGAAATGATCCGTAAAAACCGGTTTGATCGAAGAGTGACTATCGTATTATACAAACAATGTAAATTGATAATAGCAATAGTTTAGATAGTAAAGTATGAAATGGTTCGCTACAGGGTGTTTTAAAAGCCTGGTTTTTCAAATTTTATATTTAGACGATAATAAGTGCTTAAAGTACGGAAATGCTGAGATAATACGAATGTAGCAATCAGATGTTAAAGAAAAAAACAACAACAAAAAAAAAACAACAAAAAACAAATAAAGTAAATTGTAAGAAAAAAAATGTTTTAGTTTGCGTTTGCCGCCGCTCATTATTACTAGATAAAAAAAGCAAATGAATCAATCGACTTGTATTTACTTAAATTCAGTAAGAATCAGTTTTGGATAAATTTGATAAATACTTAAAACTAATCTTAGATACATGCAAATCATCAATAGGAATTTATTTTAAAAAATTGCACAAAAATTTCTGCAAGGCTGCAAACGCATTTTTTTAAAGATTAGAACAACAGTCTGAAAAAACGTCTACACTTCTAAAAACCTTTTGTCTGACTAACAAAATGCTTGTGTCGGGTTTCTTTTGTCATTTTAGATGTTTTGAAGGATATTTAACTGCCGACAAATGTTTATTAAAGTGCCACTTTCCTGACGCTTTACTGACGACGTTTTTTGAAATAAATAAGCGTCTCAATTTCAAACCTTGATTGCACAATAATATTTCGGGTTTTACACCAGGCTCCGGCAAATTTTGGTGAAGATCATCTTTTGCATCAATCACTTTGGTGAATTATAAATGTCATCTCCGAGCTGCGCCGCTGTTTAAGGCGACCTAAGACGGCACTGTGTGTCAGTAAATCAATAATATTTTGCAATTAAAAGATAAATATTTCATGGAGAAAACACGAAATTTCTCAGAATCATAAACAAACTCCGGGTCATTCTGGATCATCTCTCATATATATTAAGTATATGCCTTTTGTGTTTGAAATATTCGAACTACTTACAAAGTAAAGTGAAAAGAGTGTTGAGATAGCCCTAGATCTCTCACCTGTGTTAGAGGCTTTACATGACGATGCTCAAGTTACAAAAGGGGATAAATAAGAACCTTGTAATTATTGCAAATTTATCATATAATGTTTCTTACGTCAATTTCTATTATTGTCAATGCCAACTATACAAACAATTCAGTACAGTGTTCTCAAAGTCAATTCTAATGAAGTGAAACTATCATGTAGCGTAGTACAGTTGGGTTTATTTTTTCACCAAAAACATATATTAATTAATAAGAATCAATGCATGTACAATAAATTATATTTTATTGCAGGAATGTCACTGACAGTTATTTATTTATTAACGTAATGTGATTCAATTGTAAGATCTGTAAATTATGTATAGTACATGATATCTTGCAAATGTTTAAGCGATTAAATCTTTGAAAGATATGACTAAGTGTTTCTGTTCAACAAGGGAGCCCGATCTCCAATCTGCATGTTGAGCAGTGTGATAATCTACAAATCCCTTGTTCCTTTATATGAGCAAGAATAGTGGCTACGTATATCAGTTCAGAAAGCTATAATAACTCATGAAAAGAGACAGGTACCAGTAGATCTATTAAGAAAATAATGTTGTGATCCCTAATCTACAAACATTACGCAATCATTGTATTTACCTATTTTTGTTCCGGTTTTTCGTGGAAATATTCTTTCCGTCGTGGGTTCTGGTGGGCATAAAACATGCGATGTGTACAAACATTACACAATCATTATATTTACCTATTTTTGTTCCGGTTTTTTTATGAAGTTTTCGTAGAGATATTCTTTCCGTTGTGGGTTCTTTTGTGCACAAATCATGCGATGTTTATGAAGAAAATGTCGCTGAATGTACTAAAAAAAACATTGGTTTCATCGAACGATGCTGAACATTTAAACAAACCCTAATTGAAAAGAGTCATTGAGATTAGACCAAGAATAAAGGAATTGCTCGTAAAAAATCCTGTCGAGCTTCATATGTGCTGAAGAGATCCATAGGTGATATAGAAAACCATTAACAAAACTACGCATCACTTTCATATGGTCATTTGATAGCAAATCTAAAGGAACAATTAAAGTTCCATACGTTTAGCTGGAAGTTTATTAGTATGTGTCTTTGGTAATTAAATATTATTACATCAATAGGCCACATATCTGGTGCTAGTAATAGAAATATAAAAAAAAACATAAAAAAATAAATGTATATAAATATTTTGACACAGAGTGAATAATACTGGTATGATTAATAATTTCCCTCTTAGAAAACGTAACTAGGACAAGATTTAACATTTTACAATGAAATGGACCATATCTTTGTAAACAAATTTAATCGTATAATTTTTTTCTATGAATTATTTAAACATCACTTCAAGTGTATTAAATAGATTTTCACTCACCGGCACAAGTATTTTATTATTGATTGTCATGCAGTGGATGGAAAGTAAACTTCTTCATAGGCCTTTCTCAAATTATATGCATACTTAACATTCCATCACCAGAGAGAGGCTAACAGGGCATGAATGTAAACAAGTAATGTCTGACCTGAAAAGCCCAAGTGTGTTAAACTTACCGGGGAAAAAATATTTTTTATTGTTGTGTTCCACTCTGTTATTCCAATTCTAGATATGATTAAACAGTTAATTTTCATAAAATATGTAAGGACGTGAGTTAAATAAAGGAAGGGATTGTGAAAATAAGATGGGATGAATGAGAACATTGCGAGGTAAAGTAAAATTCCATTGTTCTTTTCTTTTTAAACTAAGCTACTTTAGATGTATTACTACTTACATTAATTAATCTGATTTCTCATTGTTTTAAATGTTTCATTTAATTATTAACATAATAAAATGTTTTGTTAATAAATTTCATTTAAATATCACACTTATGATTAATCTAAATCAATACCGTTTTTATACTAAAAAGCAATAACAGTTATTTTGTATACCATTTCAGATCAATATATGACAAGACAATATTGCTCGTTTTGAAGCATTTCACACAATAAGATTAACGATCATGGACAGCAATTCTTATATGTCTGAAGAGAATAGATGTACCCTCTAGGTTCAACTGGAGTAGGAATGAACAGACCAGTAAGATGAACACTAAAGAAGATTTTGCCACATGAAAGGTAGATCACAAGACTTAATTTTCATTTTTGCTCATAAATAAAGTTCAGCTACAGTAAAAAAAAACATTATAAGTGCAATTAAAATATAAATTGATATATTCTAGAAATGTCATAATTCTTGTTACCACTTCATAATAAAATGTATATTTTTTTCAGGAATTCCATTGGTAACAGTAATGAACACAAATTGACAACTGGTATTTGTATCGCCTTTGATTGTAATATCTCTTCATGGCAGTTGCTGAATAGATGAAAAAGAAACTATCAAACAGTTTAAAGAAGAATTACAGAAAACTAAGGAAGAAAATAAACAGTGATATTGAACTTTAGATACAAACAACTTTTTAAATGATAACAGTTGCATATCTTGTTTATGCAGGATTTTCAACATATATATATTCATTACAGTTTTCAATGTTTAAAACATCAGCAAAAAACATTAAGAGCTTTTATTATGAAGCAAGCAAAACAAACAACTTGACTGATATAAAGAGATAGATATTGCAAGCTGACAAAATGTATTTTTAGCATATTTTAAAAGACCATTTGTTTAGTCTTTTGTGTCTTAATTCAATAAAATAATTAAAAAGAAATCATCGCATTACTTTGTTTTTAACATTACTTTGTTTTTAACATTGTGCTTTGTTACATACATGTATATGGTACGGGCTGAAGGGAATATGTCAACATGGTAAAAGCATTTAATATTTTGTCCTTTTATTGCATTATATACTGTTGAGTGAATATTTCTCGGAATGTTAAAAGAAGTGCTGAAGCTAGATGCTGTTTTTCCTAATACCCTCCGACTGCAAGGTCCTGCACATGTTTTCTGCAAATGTTCAGTCCCCTAAGTAAATGGAATGTCTGGGGATGGTTAGTCCAGGCAACATCTTCTGGAAGTGCTGTGTACCCAAATGATTTGTTATATATCACCTAGCACAGGGTTCAACAATATGACCACATTATCAAGTCGGACCAACTGGACAAGTGCAATAATCTAATGATACCTCAGCTTCGTCTTAAGATTTGACTGATATTTGCAATTAAATAATTGTAATTTGTTATATACTTTTAGTATTTAATACTGTAATTAATTCAAACAGTTGATAATATAAAAGTTTTACATCAATTACTAAGCATGAAATGTATTTTTTCCATTAGTGTAAACAACAAGATGTGTTGAGATACTGAAAATCCATTGAAATGTATAAGACGGGGGTGTGGTGTCATGTCTAAACAAAATTGTTATTTTGATTTGGTAAGGCTGTCTGTAAAAATAACTAGTTAGTAGACAGTCATGAAGAATTTTTGATTTTCAAATACAAAGTGAATAAAACTTATTGTTTTGTTTTTCATTTCAATGGCTAAATTTAGGGGAAGTATGGTACAAAATTCAGCATCCAATTGTTTACATCTATTATCAGTTAATTGCTTTATACATTCTTGACCAACATGTGTTTAGGTAAGCAATCAAATACTGATAACACAGATAATGTCTGTGTAAGTTGCAAATTTATACTTGACACCGAATATTAGAAATTACTTGGAATAATCATAAACATTAATTCACTTTTTAGGTGTTGAATATATGTATATCCTTCACTGTATATAGCCTAAAATAAACCTTGTTGTTGATTAATTTATCTCCAGAAGAGATTATTGTAATGTTTAATATAACTCTCAACAAGTATGTAGTACTATTAGTACTATATTAAGATCTCTAAATCTTTCGGCCATATATTCGTGATATGTTCACATAGAGCAGATACTGGAGCTTGCCCTGTTAGCCTCGTTCTGGGAAATCTATGAATATGTATGAGGTAATATTAAGAAGGGTCTATTAAAACTACCATCAAAAGAAACATTTTGCCCTCATGTCAATTAAACAATGCAATATCAAATATTTTTTGTATGAAGAATCCTTTATTTTGAACCAAATCTCAATTAAAGTTTCAATGAATAAGGGTTTGTTAGAATGTCAAGCATCGTTTGGTGGTAAGATTTTGTGAAAACTCCGTATTTTGAGTCCGTTCAGCGACATTTTCTTCATATGCATTGCATGTTTTGGGCACACCTGAACCCATGACGGAAAGAATATCTCGTTAAAGACTACATAAAAAACCGGAACAAAATGGGTAAATATAGAGGAAAGTCAGGAGGGTAGAATCACATTTCGATTTTCTTAAAAAAATCTTTGAATTTTATATAAATATTTTAAAAGTTGAGATTGGCTTATTTTCTGCTTTACATATCGAGTTATACCTCACATCTGGATGAGCGAAAATTCGCATATTTTTTACCGATGCTCAAATTTGAGATCCATATGGGGTCCATCCCCGTGACAATGTAACTACCATTAACTTTAATAAATATATAATGACAATTTAAAGGTGATTTAAATAAGGACGGTATATATTTCCTAACAGGAGTAATTGTTTTTCTACAAAAAATGACCATACCCAAAGGAATGGAAGTTGCCAGTAGTTTTCCCATGATTTTATATGCAACTGATCCCCTTTAGAATTCCATTTTATTTAGATTTTGTTTTATCGTTTAGGGCACTCGCAATGTTTTACTTTGGGGTCATATGCCGCTTTTCATGGAATGATACTAACGTGTCACATTGAAGGTTCAATGATAAGCGCCATATGAGCACATCTGCCGATGTTTCAAAATTGAAAATTTTACCGTTGAATTCTGCTTGGATAGACGGTAGCATGCAATTACCACTACCGTCCATTTAATGGTTCAATCAAACTGAGTCTGCAACATTTTTAGTATTGCCGTGTTGAGTGTTGAATTTTCTTTAGGGATTCTGTTTTTTATCATTATTTTAGATTTGTTAAGTTTTAATCGATTATTAAGAAAGATAAATAAGAACTTTCTATTTCACTTTATTACGGTACCTGACTAGACTCACTGCTTTTGAGCTTACGTTTTACATTAAAAAAGAGTGACTTTTAATCGATAATCGAGATTATAATATTCGAAGTTCGTAAGATATTTATGTATTATCTTGCATATACATATGTAAATGTTTGTTTTTTGTAATATTATAATGTTTGTTATTGAACACTTGAATTAAACAACAGTTAACGCTTTTCGAATAGAGTAAACAGGCAACAATCTTTTTCTTCTCTTAATTTGGCGTACCTACAGATGTAAAGACTCATTACAAATTACAGTGAAATTCAGAGTGGCATAGTCATATCACAGTTATTCAGAATATCTAACTATTAACAAATGTTAAAATAGCATATTATAGCTCTTATAGATCTATAGGCTTTGACATATATCTGAGACAAGTATAATCGGTGGCCCTCTACCCCTAGCAATTCCATCTAAAATAGAACATTGTTATACCTGTGATCATTTCAGGTTTTGTGAGGACATTATCGTTCTCAAAGTCCAGCCATTTAGAATCCCCACGTTATCATATTTCAGGAAGTTTAGAGGGACCTGGTACCACAGCTGGACAGTAACAATATTTGCCATATCTTTAAAAGGTGTCACTGTTAAATCATAAAACTATTTATGTGCGTATATGCAAAAGCATCAGCTGTCATAAAAATAGTTACATAATAGTTAAGGCAGTAAAACGAAAAATAAGCAGGAAGACCGACTCGTTATTAATAGCATCGAAACATTAAATATTTATATGACTTTTTTCCACATGAAAGGTTTACTATAGAATAAGAGTTATGAAAATACAATGTTTGTCACAAATGTGTCGGCCTTGTTTCAAATCGCGAGAATTTCATTGCTTAGTGTACATTATATGTTCCGGTTTCTGACCAGTCAGATAGCCTAGATCTGAGCTTGAGCTGTAAAAAGTCTTTTTCACCTTAGACACCTATCCAGCTGGCTTACGGAGCGTCTGGGTTCTACTTGGTACCCGTTCGTGGCTGACATAATGCACAGAGGGGCACCTAAGGTATTTTGGAAAGTTGTCATATGACCCAATACTGTGTTGGTGTGATGTAAAATCCAACAAAACATTTCAGACACTTGACCCCAAATAATCAAGAATATCGACAATGCAAATACTTACATAACAGAAAAATTGTTTAGAATAAGAAAATTCCTACAATAGCACTAAATTACGAAAACGCGATATATTGTCGAACTAGCAAATAGCTTTGTTTATCACAGGCCACGAAGTTGGGAGAGAATAAGAAGAATTATCGTACCCCATTCTTATTAACCGTCATTGCTTTCAGTTAAGTTATCTGGCTTTGACAAGTACAGTTAAATGGTTCATGCTGTATGTTGAACATTATTCAACTGTAAATACTTTGTATTCAAGTTAATAAAGTGTGTCGAATCTTCAGTCCTTGACAAATTACAATGATTATTGCATATTTACTTCTTCTTAATTAAACTAATAAACATATAATGAAAATATAATAGACGGAATGGATTGAGATTCTAATATATATTTATTCATAATTAATGTGAATTTAATCATTACAGTTTATTATTAAATACATAGGGAGTTTTACAAGATATTTCACACTGAAACTTGGATGGAAACAAGATAGGTAAATCAAGGCGAGGCACAGGAAAGATTGAAAGTGTGTTAGAATGATATAAATTTAATATATATTGGTCTGCATTTGATTTAAGTTGAATAGTTTATAATTGCTCCGCGCCCAAAGGCCATGTGCCCGATTTTTTATCAATTAATCCCTTCGAATTACAGCTATAAATAAATTCGGATTCAAGAACTCCTTCCGATTTCTATTATGTAGAGTCATATATTGGTTTCCCCTTCGGTGATTCGCAGAATGTCCTATTAATGAATGAGAACGGGAACAAATTGTACATGAATTCGAAAGCTATAAATAGCTAGATGAAACTCCGAAAATCTTTTTATAGAAGTAGTTTTAGTCTTAACGAAATGGTCATTCGTTCTTTCCGGTATATAGCTCCATTCTGTTTTACGACACTGATTGTCGTCTGATATTTTTACTGTGAATATTTAAGTCGACCCTTATTTCTCAAAATTTGTCTGTAAGAAGTTGATTCTATTTTGATTGAAGGCAATCGGTTTTATGGTGGTTTTGATTTGCCGAATACTGTGACATTTTAACAACAGCAACTTTCGCCTGCAGTTTGAACGTGAGGAGTTATATATTTTAAGAATTTAAACACAGAGGGTTTTGAAGCAAATCAACAAAATAGTATATTGATCTCCTGATAAATCAATTAACATTAGCTCTTTTTATATCGCCAATGTCAAGCAGCTTTTATATCTTTGACTCGTTCAAACATGATGTAAGTGAATTTCCTCATACCAGTCTAAAATTCAGGTAACAGTCTTACATTATATTGATAAATAATGTATCACCATATAACGTGTATAAAAAAATCCTGAATTTGGTCTTTTTGAAATTCATCCCAATTTGTTTTTTATATTCCAGTGCGTGTTCTACTTTTAGTGTTTATCTGGGACTTTAAATCTTAAATCCCGGGTATTAAAAGAAACCATTTTTTTTATTTGACATGAAAAAATACATGTTCTATTACTAAATTAGTCCTTTTTGTTACTATTTGTATTTTTGTTACAATTATAATGAATGAAAAACAGACTTTGTTCATTTTGACTATTGTTTTGTATGTTCCAAAGAAATTACATTTAATATTCTAATCTCTAGCAATCTACCAAAGTTCACGATGTACAATGTTTTTTGTCCTCCGATTTATCTATGATATACAATCCGGGAAAATCAAATTAACCGCTTAACACTATAAGAATATCTATTCATCAGATGTCTACTAGTTCAACGTCATTTGCTGAATTTCTTGCTTGGACGCCCTTTGATGCTTTGCATCAGCATCAATGCGTTTCTTGTTATATCATGATAAACAATTTGCCGCGAAACATGCAAAGGACATTTTGAGAAGTAAAATCCGTGTAAGTTTTTGTTTTGGCTTATTTACATATGGATTTTAATACTTCTTACTATGATAAGATGTACATATTTGTAGAAAATGAGTAGGATTATAGGTGAAAAAGAAAGAAAAAATGATTTGATATTTCATGCAATAGGGACACTGTTGCACTATTGTCATGTCACATTACATTTACAAGTCTTGTAAGTCTTGTTTGTATTCAATGGAATTACATTCCTTACCAGGTGGGCTTAGTAAAAGCATTTTTTTTTGAAAATTTGATATCTGGCCCCTCTCTAATGGACAGTGTATACGATAAGTATAATGATGCAAAAATAGATGCAAAATATTCGGAATAATGTACAATAGTACTTAATCTGAATAGAACGTGACCAGTGCGTTGGTAAGGTATCTGTAATGAGCGCATTTTTTTTTGCGCGGAGATTCTCAATTGCTGCATTGCAGCAACATTTGTACTTGTACGAGTTGACGAGTTGAAGTGTCTTCATTTGTATGCACATGTATTTACTTTCCTTGTGCAACCCCCTTACATAGGAGAGGTCCATCTTTGTGAAGAAGAAGAACTGGCCATACTTGATAATCTATAGTTAACCCTGATTTAGTATATGGCTTGTATTTGTTTGTATCGAATGTAGAGTTAATGGTAACAGCATAATCAAGGTACACAGGTGGTGTCTGAAGATGCATTAGCCAACACAACTCGATACACTTTAATGTGTAAATCTCCAGATGTTCTTTGCTCACCCATTGTTTATATTTTGTTGCAATGAACTGCAATAGAACCAGAAAAAATTTAACTTATCAAAACTCATCTTTAGGTAAATAATCTTATTTAGGAATGATAACTGACACATTATGAGATCATAATAATAGACAATTAAAGTCAAAAGATTCATGTATATAATTATCTTAAGGTAATCAATCAGGTGTTAAAAGAATAATTTTAATTAATGTTTCGCTAATACATGGCTTAAAAATAACTTGATTCATATAACATTTTATTAAGAAATATTTCATATATTAATATAGATCTAATATTGTTTTTTATTTCATTCAGATTTAAATATTTAAATAAAATTAATATGCATATCGTTTCAGTTATTTCACAATGTACAATATCATACATAACATGTTCATATTCAAAATATGCGCATGATTTTGACCTTCAGTGCTCACTGTTGAAGTTAATATCATTTTTTAGAACTTGAATATGTACGCTTACCATTTTGACATCAGCTACAGAAAGTTCTGCACACATTTTTCTAAGCTCAGCTAAAGATCTTGATTGAACCTTTGAAAGGATGATTTCGTCTTTCGGCTTTCATAAAAATATTCATATTTGCATTAATATGTTTATAAGATTAAATAAAGAATATTAAATCTAATACCTATTCGTTTTAAAATCTTGATTTGTTTAATAAAGGAACGCAGAGTTATCAAATTAATCAGTTGCACCTCTACTATATGACCGATTTGGATGGGAGAAATTTTTTAGCCTTCAGATAGCTATCTGATAATATTTAATACAAAAGAAAAGTACTTAAGCACAAACATTTTATAATTACCAAACAAATACACTATTAGGTAAAGCAGACAATATTGATATAACAATGTACTGAAATTGGATTATTTTAACAAAAGACTTCACTCACTTACTACACATTACATGTTACCATGTTATGTATCAGTTATCAAAGGCATTTATATTTCTTTTCCAAAGTTATATACAATCATACGTAAAAGATTAGCAATATGGTAACTAAATAAATGTTTCATTATATGAAAAAAAATGAAAATTCAACGCCCTCCTCAGCCTTTTGTTACAATATGACTTAATATACATCGACCTACCTGTTTCACTTTTGTATTAAGAGATAAACATTCGGTCGGATTCCGCAGCATGTTAGCTAACCAACTTTGTTGATTACAAGAAATTGTTCCACACATTTTATACGACTCCTTGAAGTAAAACGCAAAAATAATTTAGTTAATTGTTTCATTTCTATATAAATTGATTTATTTGAGGGAAAAGGAATTTGGATGTTTGGTTATTATGCCACAGATTTGTAAATAATATTCTGTTATCATCGTTCGGTCCTAAGAAGTCTTCTAAAGATAATTGATTAAATGGTAGGTTTGAGATAGAACAGTATATTCTATATACAAAGTATACTTTATAATTTAGCAATTTAAACCTATTTTAATCTACTTACAACAAGAATGTTTAACAGAAAAGCAATACATTCTTTTTCATCAGTTATTTTCAGGTCTTCAAAAGCATCTGTCCATTCATTATCATAAAGTTCAGAAAATTGTTCAGCTAGTTTTGTGGCTCGATTTGGATCACTAAGATCAGCTATATTCGGGTTGTTGTCTGTGAGGTTTGCTCCAGCTACTTTCGATAACCTGAAAAGGATATGTTGCCTCCTACTTTTAAAACAGAATCAGTGATCTGCAAAATTCATAACCTCTGTTCCCCTTTCCAACTTCCATTTAATTTAGCTCCGCACATTGTTTTCACGTTTAGGACACAAACACTCTTTTACTGGGAGACAATAGCAATTACCACTACCGTCCAGGAACAGACTCAATCCAACCGAGGCTACAACAATTTTCAATTTTTCCGTTTTAGGCGTTCTTTAAGGATTGTGTTTTTTCTCTATTTATTAAAAAACCCGTTTAATCATTAATAACATAAAAAGTACAATGATCTCAGACTTAATTTTAAAATTCATTTAGCAATATAAATATGGCGAATATGTATCGATTTCATTATATGAACAGAATTTGTAAACATGTACCTATTTAACAGCTCATCCTTTTCTGTCTGCAGTTTGTTTATGTCGCAATTTAATCTTTTATTATCTTCTTGAAGTTCAACAAACAGTTCAGTGGTAACGAATTTCTTCTGAAAGCTAAATTTTAAAGGTATGATTTACTTAGTTACTCTTATTGATTAAAAAGATTTCCTAAAGAGGATATCGTATTGCAAACTACAGACTATTTTGTATTAAAATATGATTACATCATTGACGAAATGGTTACGCACCCGTAAACATTTTCCATTTAATATAAATCTGCCAATAGTATGACGACCAAGCTTTGTATTAGTAACAAAAAAAAATCAATTACATTTTTAAATTAATTAAAATTCAGTTTTCAGCATAAATCAACTATCTTTACAAGAGCCCTCTAAGACATTCTTTGACATTAATTTGATAAAATATAAAGCTTTATTTTCACTAACTTTTGAAAAGTATCGGCTAAACATTGTTTTATACAGCAGATTCTAGACAACATTTGTTGAAACATCGGCGACACTTGGCAATTGGACTCCTCAGTGGCAAACTGTTTCGGCATTAAAGAATGCAATGGTCCAGTGGTAAGTAATGCCATAACGTCTTGTAAAAGTGGCTCCACAATTCTTATGAGTTGATGTCTATCTGTTTTCCATCTAGTATTAGGTATTAAACTGAATGTTATTGTAACCTCAAATAATACATACACAAAATCTAAAGACTATGTTAAACACTTGCATATCTGTACTCGTCTTTAGAGTTTAAATTATCTCTTTAAAAAATAACGTTTTTAAGCAATAAGTTATTATCCTTATTTCTCAAAATGGTTAATGCATTATTAGGGGTCAAACATTTTTGTATATACACTTGATGCTTATGTTTATAAATTTGTGAAAATATATATTGTGTGTTTATTTATACATTAGCATATTATCAAACTAAGATATATCTTTATCATTTATTTGAACTTTTATATCTATTATGATTATATAGAAATCTATTTCCTGGAATTAATAACTTGAATGGATGTGTTAATTCTACCAACTTTCACGGATCACTGGTATCAAAGAAGTTATACAATTTCAAAAGATGAAAATAAAACATACTATAATGAACATTGCCATGTATCAGTATTATGTTTTTAATAAAAAAAAGAGCAGTTCTTGTCAATATTTTCATAAAAGATTTTTGTGCTTGAAATTTATTATCAAAATAATCTTTAATAGATTCGATAAATGACCTACATTCTATATCTATATGCTGTTGTATCATATGTGTATTGTGCGAAGTCTTTTGTACAATTAACGTTGAAACTTTAATCCAAGAAACAGTTAATATCATGTCATAAAGTAATAAATGGTGTCTTTTTGACATTATAATTTTTCTGCTTAATTTCTGAAAACCCCTTGCAAAAAATACTGCCTTGCTCCGCTGCAGACGGTATATCTTCAAATGTTTCATTAAGTCCTTTATCATAATAGATGATCATTTTTATTGTTCTTCTTTACTTTTCCATAGCTTTCAAACGCTTCCACAATAAACATTCAGAGTAATTTTTAGAAATGACATTTGTTATTTCCATAATGACAATCGGTATATTCCGCTACTGAATTCTTACACCGGTAATGATATATAATACATATTGGGTATTTCAACAGATTCTTCTTTTTTAGAAAAAGACCCATGAATGTACTCTGAAAATCTATTTTAGGAAACAAACGGTTAATATACTATGATATATCATTGATTTTCACCTGTTAGTAACCTATTAATCAATTGGAAAAAAAGCATTTCAAAACTATTTATAGATCTCATCAAAGATAATTATTGAACACGTTTAATAAATTTGATGTCAAATTACAATGAATGTCATACCCAAAATATATCTCACCCACCTCTTAAATGTTTCTACGATTTCCACAGTTTCTCGTCTAGAATTGCCATACCCGCTTTCTGAAGTTTTACTTTCAGATTCTTCGTTAATAACATTGTATAAATTTTTAAAGATGGACCTTTGATATTTAATTTCTTCTCGCATGGCCAGTTGCCTGCAAAATGAAATAAAATTATTAAAGTTTTAATTTAAGGTTATTGTCATACTAGTAGCTTATTTATGTATGTGTTTTGTGCTAAAAGAAATTGCAAAAAATATGACATTTAAAGAAGTCGACTCGAATTTCATAATATAATTCGGATTAGTATCATCATCACAATCTACAATACTCGAATTTGTCAAATTCTCTACGTCATTTGTTAGTTCTATAACTTCCTTGCAAATGTTAAATTGCTCTTCTTCATACATTGAAAATGTAAACTTGAAGAAGTGAATACATGACTGACTTTCCAGGAAACGCATACATTTTAAAACTTCTGTTTTGCATTCATAACTATTCATATCTATTTCGAAGCAATTTTAAATAAATAAACTTTTACCGTTTTAATTTTGATTTGTTATTCTTCATTGACATTTCGATACTGCTCAACATCTCTGTAACCGTCAATACCTCTGTTTGCTCCGCCATTCGTACTGTATCTGTTTTATCCGAAACATTATCCCAAATTGATTTTATCCTTTCTTTGAGATCGCTTATTTCATCCATGATATTTGGATGTGTATCATCTTTTCTGCATTGATGACAACATGTCAGATAACAATACATTTAAAACATATATAAATCTTTTGATATAAAAAGCAATACATATTGGAACAGATTTCTTCTAAAATTGAACTTGATTTGAAAAGGGATAGAAGTCTTTTTAAAATCAACATTTGTGGAGTTAGATCTTTTTTTAGAAAGTATTTTAACATAAAGAAAGTAAATGATATAAATCATTTCAAAATACGCTTATTAATAAAATACTTTTAAATAATTTAAATACAACCAAGGTACATCAGTAGTTTCGGAAATTGGACATGCTCGAAAAATAATTACACACTTAATAGAAATGGAAATAATTTTTTTTAAAAACAAGTGTTGTTATTTTAGAGATGAAGTTGAAATCTGTATATTTAATGATTTTATTTTTGTTATTTAACCGGCGTCAGCAGAAGAAAGTAATGTTTTAAACAATCGAATAATGCAAGATTTATTGCTAACACTTCAATAACGTTTGTATGGTACAAGTTCCTTGGTCATTATATGATAGGAATTAAACATATCAATACATTAAGTTTGATCACATACGTCATTGAACTGGAAATTACTCCTTTCCCACCAGTCACATGCTTATAATTATCTTTAGTGTCGCCATCTAACATGACGTTATGATTCATCTTAACTTTGACTCGTACTGTGACTTTTGAGTGGTCAAAGAACGTGCCATGTTTACAAAATGAGGACGTGTTCCTGCAAATAATCAATAGGCTGTTGTAGTTATAAAGAAATATTGAACCAAAGGTAGTCTCAATTAATTGCTTTTAAATTGTTATAAAATTGTTATAAATTCAAACATTATGAAGTGCACTTTGATAAAAAAAACTTTCAATCAAAACAAGGGACATCAAAGAGCAGTATTCAAGCTAAACAAAACGAATATTAACAACCATTCATTCATTTTATGAATAATGCCTGAGCCAATTAATAAAAGTAAATTAGACATGAACTTGAACAAGTTATACCTTAATCTTTACTGATTATTTAACAAACCTTATCGGGTACGCATGATTTGTCATTTGCGGGATCCCAAAGGCTCTTTCGCCTACTTTCGGAAACTGGTTGCGACTGAAAGATACAATATTGGCTGTCACGTTTCATACATTGCATAAATATGTTGTAAACTTATGTATGCAACATCAATAATTAAGAAAGACAATACTTCTGTTTTTTTTAAGGAATCAACTTTGATATAACAAAATTTTCAAACGTTAAACGAAGACAGCCTATTTACTATGAATAATACTTACTGAATGCATTTAAGCGATGTATCTGTCTGAAAATACAAGTGATTTTATAAATGACATGTAGAAATGTATAGTTTCAAAACCTATTGTATATTTTTCTTAAATCTAGGAAATTAATCTAAACAATAACAAAAGATGGTAGGTCGCCAAATTTTGATATATGTTCAAATAAAAAAAAACAACGTTTTTTTGAACACTATTATAAGTAGCGGCTACATCATATATTTGGATAATATATATTTAACAATAAATTTTTGATAGCAGAGAGTAAATACTTTCCAGCTCAACTTTTAACGAATGTGAAGATAAGAATCTAAGACATTGTGTGTTGTTGTAAATAATAAAATTACCCCAAATGTTTGTCATTTTCAACAAATTTGGCTAGTATTGCAAGTTTGGTTTATTAACATTGAACAAGGTTTGAAAGTCCCTGCGTTTGGTTAAGTTGGTTGTTGCGACGGGAAGTCAAATTGGGTTCTGTTGTAAATGATATTCTGTACTCGATTTTTTGTATATATAAACGCAAATATATTTGTTCCAATTTTCAAACATAGACAGATACTTTTATACAAAACTGGAATGTTTTGTTGCTTTACAAACATATGAAATTAGACTTAAAAGAAAAGATCATTTTAGGCCTTTGCCCTAAGTTTTAATTTTTAAGTTTGCCCTTCCCTTCCCCGAAACTCATATCCCCGTCCCCTGTGCCCCTTAATTTTGTGAGGTTATAGATCAATCAACTATTTGTTTCCATAAATTTCCTTGTCGGTTACTATTATTTCTTTTTAAGTATCAATTAAGTAATTAGCATGCCCGTCTTCTGCCTTTGCCCTGTCCTGTCTTGTTTGGGTCCCCCTTGACTCCTTGTTTCTTGGGATCCTGTTTACCGTATTTTACAAACACTTAACACAAAGTTTTGCATATGCGCTTGCAAATTACGGATTGAAAGTGAGAGATGTGGTAGACAAAGAATAGACCGCGTTTATAGACTCATTGAAATTTGTTCAGCTAGAGCCATAAAAGATGAATATCATTTTATTCTATTATGTAAGAAATACAATGTTGTACGGAAAAGATATGTAGACAGTTATTTTATGAGAGGCCGAGGCCTGACATGCACACACTACTTCAACTACCGTTAACACAAAATAGCCAAACTGTAAATAATTGAACATGTTTCATGAATTGCACTAAAAGGAGACTTCATCTGTTATACGTTAGTAAAGCTACAAACGTTAAGATTAATTGGAAATGTATGAATTATTATTAATTTTATCTTATGAATGGAACTTCTTCGTTATAAACATAAGACCAAACTAGAGCACTCTTTAATATATCCTCTACTATATAATATATGCCGCGCATCTTTATTTTGTTTCTCTCTTCATTACTATACATGTAACAGCTGCTTACATTGTGTTTTAAAAATGTATTGTAATCATTTTTTTGGATGAGGAGCTATGCTCAGGTCCGAGCAAAGAAATAAATAATCTGGTCTGGTATGTTTAAACTTTATTATTACATACCGGTTTGTCTTTTCCGCTGCGAGATATTTGTGGTGAAGCTTTTCTTATACCTAAAATACAAAAGCTTCATATGTCCCTATGTTCCGCTTAAGGTTGAATTTACAAAATGAAAAATATAATAATTGATTCTATAAATTGATATCATAATATAACTTTATTTGCTTTCGCTCAAACGTAAATAAATAATATATTGTTTTGTCAGCAAAAGCTAAAAGAATAATTACAAACACGTGCGTAGCATTTGTCATTAACATAACATTTATTCTATAACATTATGTGTAAAAAAGACTGACGCCTTTTACATTTTAATGCGCAAGTCCAACGCTAATTCCATATCTTGAATAAAATCAGAATTAAATGTCTGTTGACGCTGATTTCTTTATTAAACTGCTGTCTCCTTTAAAATGTTTAAAAGTCTTAATTGAAGAAGTGTGCACTTCGTCTTTTAATCCCATTGTAACGAATTGAATTGCTGGTCAATGTAATTTCTCATTACATCAAATGACTGTGAAACAAGATCGTCTCTGTTATCCGAATTTTACCAAATGTTGAAACTTGGCTGTCTGTCTTTAATTCTTCGTTATCAGCCATTGATATAGAATTATAAAACGTGATTGACAATGCAATGCAATTTTGGAACCACAAATGATAAACATTAGCGATCCGCTTACCTTAATATCAACAAGGGACATTAGCTTCGTGCATAAAAAAACAACAATGTTGAACAATAACTGAAATAATTTTGCGTTTATCTCAATATATTACAGTCTAAGCAGTGTTTTTAAATATTTGAAATAATGCTAATCTATTAGTCTTAAATTTGTATCAGAATCATTTGTCACGGAGATTTTTTGCCTCGCACGAGGATCGAACTCGGAGCCCCTGTACTACAAATCTGATGCTAATCCTGTTTAGCATAGCGGGAGGATTAAAACAGATTTTTCCGTTTATCAACACATTAAAAATAAATGAGATGTAAAGAAATTTACCATAGAAAAAATAAAAATGCACATTTAATTTAAATTAACATTGCAGATAATTAAACTATGCCGCTAAATAAACTAAACGATTCTTATCATTTTGATCCAGTTAAATCTATATGTTATTAATTAAATACAATGTATGTTTAAATTAGACAAGGAAGTCAATTAAATCTTATCTCAATTTTTTTCATTTTAAAAACACTGTTTTGTTTTATGTCTTTTAAAAACATTCTCTCAATTTTTAAGATTAATGGAAAGTAATATGAGAATACTTAACATTCCACAATTTTATTATAAGTATTTCGTTTAATTCCACGTCTTTGTTTTGTTTAAATTCATTTTTTGTTGTTAAAATTTGCAAGTCAATATCCATATACCACATTATATTTATACTTATCCCTTGTCAAATTAATCAGTATAAATATAAATATGAAATATTCATTTCATAATGAGTAATGGATATAGTTATGATACAAAGTTATTGAGAAAGTAAGGTTTAGGTCGACTTTACCTGAATGGACTCTAGCTCCCTTTGATTCTGAACTCCCATTCATCCTTATTAAAGTATTAAACACGTTTCCCCTTAACACAATAATACATTTATCTAGACTTTATTTTTAAACCATAGTAAACACAACGCAGTAAGATATGAAATTGTATTCCTGGTATGTTGACAATTTGTAGTCATGAACAATAGAATAGTCTGTCCTGTGTTAATTGAACCAGGAAGGACAAAACCGAAAACAGATGTATTCAATATGCATTACGACCGTCGTTGATAAAACATTGCCGGTTTAATATTTATTTGATAAAATGTACTGCTAATTCATGTTTTAAAAATATACAACTTCACCAGGTCGGTTTGATATCTTTAGATTAAGCTGATAATAGTTTTCTATTATAATTAATCTAGTACTTGTTACGTTATGGGTTTAAGAACGACATGAATGCAATTGCTGATTTTTTTCTAAATTAATATAAATATATATATAAGAAAGCTGTTAACATGACAGTGTCCAGTAAATCAACATCTAGGGAACTCTATTATAAAGGAGCTGTACATAGTATCATGTTACAGTTCCACTCATCATGCAACAGTAATATTATTGACCACGTTTATGTGAAGCTGCTTCTAAAATAATGAAAACATGGGCCATCTTTAACATTTCTAGCATTTTTATGCCCCAACACAAACCAGAACCTGTTGAGGCTGCACGGATGTGCATACTGGACTAACATTATACTGGCCACAATGAAAGGAAAAATAAAGAACGTTTTATTTTTTTAAACCACCCTATTTTTATTTGACCAAAACTGACAGACTTTTGTTTCAACCAGTTTATTTTCAGATATGATTTTCTTTGGCTTTATTTGTTTAATCCCAGTAGGACTTTGTTTCTTTCTTATTACTTTTACAATTGAATTTAGTTTATGAATTATTATATAAAACAATTTTCCAGCTTCTGAAAACAATTTTTAATCTCGTTGATATTCTATTTGACTTATACAGAAATTTAATTGTTAATACTTTTGAAGATAGATGACAATGTCAGACAACTGTTGTACATTTTAATTTGTGTCAAAATGTGATAAATTTTAATAACGTAAAGTTCCTGTTGACCTTTGAAACATTGTGATCTATTCATCTAATACCTTAACCACATTAATGAAATCATTCTCGTTTCTGATATTATAACTATTTAGGTGTGTCCATCCTTTAGGTTAATTATATTAGTTCTAATGATTTACACGTTTCTTGCATGCATATCTGGTATTATTAGAGTTATTTGCGCGGTCTTCTTTACTGGTCACAAGTATTTGGAAAGGTTTTCACTTAGATTATCCCCGTACATTATAAGTAAGAAATAAGAAATAAGTATACCTCAAAAGCCGAAATTGTTGCGGAATTGACAGATTATTTCGATGAGAACTTAAAACTGTTAAACCAGATTCGAAGTGAGTTGTAGAGACTGCCAAAAAGTTAGAAAAGATTCTTCTGTTTCATTGAAAGGTTCACCCAACAGAAGTTAATGGAAGATTTGCTTGATAATATAGATAAAGCTTTTACTGTGAGAAATGCTGCAAAGGCAGAAGCTTACAGACTGATGAAGCACTGCAACAAACTTATTCGGATGGCAATCAGCTCTCCGTCTGATTGGTCTATCATACGAATCATTACTGGACGTTGCCAGTGATTCGGCATATAACAAACGTTTCGTTGGACTGAAGATATAGCCAAAGCTCGAATTAATGTTGCATTTTTTTCCTCTACTTTTTTTACCAATACTAGTTTTCAGTCTAATGTTTGAAACCTTAGTTGAGGAATAGCCGCAATATACTCTTTAACAGTGGAACACTTGTCGAAGCTACAATCTGCACCGCTATTGACAAGTGGAACACACACATTGCCTCGGGATGTACTCAAACACCGATTTCTTAAGACAACAGCTGGGAACATCTTTCGTAGCCAGGCGGTAAACCCAGTGAATCACAATAATTTGTTGATGATATGTATTAACTTTTGTATTGTACGGAGTTAAATATCTCTCAAATAGCTGAATACCACGAAATTAACTGTGAATACGAAGGAAATTCAGGGCAGATTTCCGAACTTCGGAAGAAAGCGTATTAAAAAGGCGTTGACAGTTTAAAACCATTGAACCACATTATATAAATCCTTTCATTCTTTGATTGAAAGAAGGGTAGGTACTTTGGTTTAGTGACAGTTAAATACGTATCAATATTATTGAAAAGGGTAGTTTGAAATAAAAATACAAAGTTTGGGACTGGACAATTTTATTTCTGCGTACATTATAGTACTGCATTACACATACAATGGATAAAGGGAGAAGAAAATAGAGTGACTGGCTTGTATAGTAGAATGAAAGAAAATGATGATAATAGTGTAAGAAAACCATCTTTTTGCAGTTTATTGACACTTTCTGTGCCTCATACAGTTAACCGATGTGCAAATAATAACATCATTAAACTTTCACGCTTTGAGTTTATATTTTACCCCTTCGTCTGAAGTAGTTAATGCCTATTCTGTTGACTGGAGCGGTTCAAAAAACTGGTTTGTTGCCTCCTGTTGATTTTATACCCAAGCCTTTTAACCATATAGCAGCTTACAATGCAACTTGTACATAAGTACCTTTTTCACCAAATGATATTTGGTTTTATTTGAATTTTAAACATTTTTTTTCAAATTGCCCCCCCCCCTTTCAATGATGCAAGTTGCTTAATATTGTCAAGGGAGACTATCAAATTCTCCAATAAGGTTATCGGTACAGTAACATATATATTGCAGTTCATTAGAAAATTTGTAGTCTCGCGTAAAAAGATATATTTGAAACATTCATTTAAATGTCTTTTAAAATTTTACTCAATTTCCCCCTGATCTATTGTTATTTCTTTTACATTTATGGTGATTTCGTTGTACCATTACTTTCAAATATAAAGCATGTGCTGATGTTTACAGTTTACAAGTACACGTTTGTTATAAGTCAAAGACATGTGTAATTTATTAACTTTTCTCAGAAATGAAAATTGCTGTGTTATCTAGTAAAGAAGAATCGAAGACTCTAAGGTGTGAGGAGACTTGTGCCATAGTTTAATGAATGACTATATCATAATCGTTTAAAGATTCCACCTCACACGTGTCTTAAATTAAACGATTTTTCCCGAAATTTCAAAATTTCCTTTTGTTAATCAAAGATTCTGGTAAAAACAAATTTCAGGAATATATTGAAATTTATTATTACATTAAGGCAACTGTAGTATAATTTGTCATTTCCACAACGTTTTCAACTTTTTTGACAATCGGCTACAATAAAAAATGCTTAAAATGTTTGGTATAAATTATATGTATCTCGGTGTCAAAAGAGAGATAAAGAGAGATAACTTAACGAGAGTAACGTAAATTTTTGCTTCTTTTAATATGGTTTTGTTTGTTTGTTTTTTGGATTTTTACGGCACGTCAACACATAACTGACCATATCATGCCGAATGCTATAATAGGCTTCAAATGTTAAGTAAAACTTTGTTAATGACAATAAAAATGAGCCAATTATATCCTAGAATACAAGTTTATCTCTTTCAAATAATCAATGATGTTTTTTGATGGAATTGTAATATGGTTTTAACACAATGGTGATAAATAATAAGAAGTAGTAAAGAACATGTAAAAATAAAAGGTAATGCCTACGTAAAAAATATGATTTGAAAAGCTTTGTAATTTAAGAATATAATGTTTCACTATGAACAAATGAATACATAACACATATTGAACCACTAAAATATTCAATGTAAAATGTACTGCATACAGATAAACAAGCAATAAACAAAATGAATAATACAAAACACTACAAGAAAATTCTAAAAATACTACAGTAACGTCAAAAACTTGCAAAATTATATTATATGTAAAATATCTTTTATCGCCATACATACACATTTCTATTTTATTCATTTATGTGAATAATACGTTGAATTGTCATTGAACATTTGCATATGTTCTCGAATTGTAAACATCCATAAATATTTCATCAGATATATGGAATAATTAAAGAAAATTGGTCAAATATGAAAGGTAATGGCATACCATTAGTAATTATATTTATAATATTTACTACCACATATGACACCAAAACACGAATGAGTTATATATATAATGAATGTTATTGTAAGTTTGATATATAAAATAACATATTTTATATAGCAGATAATAAAATGTTCTAGAACAAGATATTTTCATCAAATAAAGGTTCATTCTACATAACGTATAACTATATCGATATTTTTTTTCCAGGAAATATATATTAACAGCATTATCCAAATGATACATTTCTATTGTTTCTATCAAAATTTGAAACACTTATGGAAAACGTGCCCATTGTAGACCAATCCACTTTAAATTCATTGTCATAGGATGTTACACAGTAGTACATACACATTAAAAATTACGTTGCAGGTTCGTTGGCTTGCGTTTATGTACTTTTAGCTAAAGAAACAAGCAAATATATTAATCAAGGTTTGATGTATAAAAATAACAAATAAAGTTAACACTATGTCTTTTATACTCATTAAACTCAGTTAAACAGTTACTCGTCTGAACTTCTAGCACATTTATCACAAAGAATGCTATTTGCATCGACAAAATTATTATCACTATACACGTTTGTCCAAAATAAGACGTTTTTCTTTCCTACCTAATACTCGAATCACTTAACTGTTATATCTATTTTCCTTCTGCAACCCCTTTACATAACAAAGGTCCACCTTTGTGCAACAAAAGAGAGGGAAAAACTATGAAATCAATTTGTTCCCCGAATTTAGTGTACGGTTTGTATTTGTTGGTATCAAACGTTGAGCCTGCCACAAAAGTGACATCAAGGTAAACAGGTGGCGACTGAAGATGCATAAACCAGCAGAGCTCGATGCAAGACATTGTAAACTGTCTGAGCTTGCTCTTTTTAACCCAGTTCACATTCTTAGCAGCAATATACTGTAAATCAAATAGTTTGTGATGAAAATAATTAAACAACCACTCCAACATGTATTTCTTTTCTCGTTTATTGAAACTACTACTATTTTACTATCGTAAAACTGTGTAAAAATAGTGATAGAAGACATGTTTGTGCCCGGAACAGCAAAATGGAACATAATTATGACAAGTTGTTATCTATACAGTTATTAAATTTCCTGTTGGATAACATGCCGAAATAAAAATTACGATATATTTTTGTAAGCCGAAACAGAGTAGTATCAGTTTCCAGTGCTTGAATATCAATGCTTAAATATGTTCATTCAAAAAAGATTACAAGATTTGTGATAACTTATGATAAATTAAAGATGACTTTACTCACTGAATTGGCAGTAGAATTGTAAAAATTATATTTTAATAAGCAATTATTTATCAATTAAACATTTGTTCAATTTATCTGATAATAGGCTTTATCAATATGATTTCTACAGAGTAAGAAAAACTGAGATGAAATAACATAACCCCCTATATCTTTTTTATCATTTATTTTTTACTGAAAGGTAGCTTTTTATCAGAAGCTGTGCGAGACGTCTTTAGACATGATTAGCTTTATAATACAATGTGATACATAAAATGGTGTCTTTATAACACAGTGTGATACATAAAATGGTGTCTTTATAACACAGTGTCTTTAGACATGATTAGCTTTATAACACAATGTGATACATAAAATGGTGTCTTTATAACACAGTGTCTTTAGACATGATTAGCTTTATAACACAATGTGATACATAAAATGGTGTCTTTATAACACAATGTGATACATAAAATGGTGTCTTTATAACACAGTGTCTTTAGACAAGATTAGCTTTATAATTCAATGTGATACATAAAATGGTGTCTTTATAACACAATGTGATACATAAAATGGTGTCTTTATAAACACAATGTGATACATAAAATGGTGTCTTTATAACACAATGTTGATACATAAAATGGTGTCTTTATAACACAATGTGATACATAAAATGGTGTCTTTATAACACAATGTGATACATAAAATGGTGTCTTTATAAAACAATGTGATACATAAAATGGTGTCTTTATAACACAATGTGATACATAAAATGGTGTCTTTATAACACAATGTGATACATAAAATGGTGTAACTCATTTGTTACCGTCTTGTTGGACAACCCTTCGGTTGGCCTTTGTAATGTCGTAGCAAGAGCGATCTGTTGCTTACTTGAAATATCCGCACAGATTCTATACGATTCCTATAAAAAGACAAGAGTAACAAGTTATGTATAAACACGAACAAAAATTGATAGCATTTTGTTAATCTAAACAAATAATTTTCAAATGTTATCCTTTTTTCTTTGGCTCAAATGTTTACGCTTCACTGATTTTTGTACGCGTTTAGCTTTATATAGCCGTTTCGCGTTTTTTTCTTCTTCACAATTTCGATAGACACGTCTTAAATAATATTTGATACATTTTTCATCGGTCTTTACTGTGCAATCTTGGATATGACCTGCATTTTTCTTTATGGTTTAAAAAAATATCAGTTTAAGATGTAACTTTGAGGATATTCGTTATTTGAAATACCTTTTGGGGACGTTTTATTTCCTGTTTTTATTTTGTCAAGAATGGGAGCGCGTAAATCTGATCGAAATAAAAATAAAGCGATGAATTTTATTTACTTTTTTCATCCTTTTGCAGTATTTGTATAAAATTTTAATGAATGAACCTCTTAACTTTATAAAATGTCTGATATTTTCTGATATAATACTTGACTAAAACATTACAAAAAGAAATATTCTAATTATCTACGTATCAATGTAAATGCTAAAATAGTCATGGATTGTATTCTTGTATTCTTTTCTTGAAATAAACATGCCTTAAACGTTGCTTTAAAAAAATTTTTGAACGTAGATGAAACCATTTCTCCTTCAATCGTTTTAAAGTTAAAAGTTTGGAAAATTACAGGGGCAAATTTATCAAGTAGGATTAGACAAGGTAAACACTCGTTTAAAAGAAAATCGGGAATTTGAGATGTTGAAAAAGGAGGTGCAGTGAAGGGAGAAGATCAAACATCTTGGTTATAGTAGCTCGGCAAAAACCGAAATCAACAACAATTGAAGTTTTGATTTCGCGAGTAAAGATATCATTCTTGATAATATTGAATTGAATTTGTCCTTTGGGAAACTTGGAGTTTTTTCTTCAGACAAAACAAATTATTAAGAAACAAAAAGTATCTTAAAGAAAGATACTCGGCCGAAGAATAACTGGTTAACTTGTTAGTGCTTAGTTTATGAAAACTCATAGAGAAATATTAGCATAGCTTGCATAACAATGACAAAATAATTTTTTGTTGAAAAAGGCAGGCAAGGGGTGTCAAAAAAGAAGATTTACTTAAACAGGTGATAGTATTTAGCAATCAATTAAATATATGCAGCGGCCATATAATGATTACATCAATAAATGAAATTCATTAAGGGGAGGGGCTTGGGGGGGGGGGCTAAAATGAACAATTTTGTATTTCAGTGTGGTGACCAGAAACACAATTCCAAATATTTCAAAATCTGACTCACAGGCAGATAACCTGTTGCACAGCATTATTCAAGGATATATGACAGACATTGAAGAAATTAATAGTTTGCATGCATGGGTGCTAAAATAATGACTTGACAGCAATTTATATTTACCCCCACCCAACAGAAATCGCACCTTAAATATGTCAATATGGGCAATCTTTATGAAGGTGCAGCATACTCCAGAACTCGTCCTGTTTCTTTGAAGATATCATTAACACATAGTGCAATCAATGGCATTTTCAAAAATGATCAATAAATTGTCATACGTTTAGATTTTTCACAATATACATGTATATCCAAAGTTTCTTACATGTTTTGCGCAAACGGTCATAGCTTGATTTTTTTTCACCTTTATTCGGAGAGTCAAAATACACATAAATTTGCTAACATGCTTAGTTTTGGGTTAAAAAATACTGCTCATCCCTACACATAAACAAACAAAATATACAATGACAAAGAAATATCAGAGTTATGAAGAAATTTGACCGAGGCCATCATTCGAATATATTCCCTGCCCACTTCAAGTTAAAGCAGTTCATTTCAACAGTGAGGAGAACACGGTGACTGATTGCCTTTCTAGATGGCATTTATATGATTCCTTTAAATGAATTTTACAGGCAAGTCTTTCTATATGGCATTATAAATGTTTCGTTTGAAATTAATTTTAAAGGAAAGTTATAGATAAATGTTCACAAGAACCTTTTGTTGATGAAAATAAATGTTCATTTTTCTATGACTGGTTATTTAATTTTCTCTTTTAGATTTGGAATTAAAAAGTTTAAAGGATATAAAAATTTTAACATCTTCTGCCTTTGCTTGTGGAACAAATCAAAATTTACGCTTTCAATGGGAAAGTTTTTGTTTTGTTTTCATTGTTCTTCAAGGTTCTTACTTACTAGCTTCAACCAATACTCTCAAATTATATGCACAATTTTTATGCCAGATCCTTTAAATCAGTCTTAAGAATAAGAAATCAGAACAAAAAAAAAATTCTTTTGCTTTTAGTTTGAATCATATTAGCTATAATTATATTAAATTCAACTTTGCGTGGGAAATCCAAATTACACCCTTATGCATTTAAAGGGACATAACCTGTAACTTCAGACATTCTATTTAAGAAAACATTACGAACATTTAGATTTTTCTGATTGTCCAAACAAGATAAATTAGTTTAATTAATTAATTCATTCGCCCTTTTCTTAGTCGCTGGAAAGTCAAATTTAGTTCCTACTTCAGAATTTGATATTGATAATGATAAACTTTTGAAATTAGAGAATATTCAATTTTTCGGGTACCATATTTTAGTTTCCTTTAGGTGGAATAAAACTAATTTGATGAAAGGCAGGTCATCAGTTTGTGATCATCGATTATGTCCTGTTTCAGCCTTTGGAGATGAAGTTGAAAATGAATCATTATAAAGGGACATTGTTCATACTCCCAAATGGAACAAGTATAACATATCACATGTTTCAGCATAAGTTGAGATCTTGAATTAAAAGTATTTCATTACGTCATCATTTGATTATGGTATAACAGCTACTGAAAATTATCTTCTTCGTTTATTAAGAGAGTATATATGGTATTCTTTAAGTCTATGAAATAAAAAGTTTAAATAAAAAGAATCAAAATGATATGACATTTACATTAAAAAACACAATGGATAAATAAGTGAACTAGATTTCGAGAGGGTTATTCGACGACGCTTGATGTTCATGCACTTCAAGCAGTGATTGTCATAGATAAAGAATAGCAAGTGAACAATCGTCTTAAGCAAAAATGGTACTTATCTTTATAATTTCATAATTGTACGATGAAGGACAGTAACCTCAAAAAGTATTTTTCAATATTTTCTTGATGGCCCAGGAACTTCGAGTATACACAACCTGAGTAAGGGCATAACTATGCATGTTAAAGATATAAATGTTTGAAAGAAAACACCCAACAATAAATGCAGTTTACGTGACTGTGGAAAATTAACTATGCTTTTAAAATATGCTGAAAGAGCTGTAAAATATTGGAGTAAAATACCCAAAATAGAAGAGCTAATGCTAGTTAAATGTTAGGTCATGCAATTTTTTTCAGACAGTACGGGGCAATCTAATTGGTGTACTGGTATAAGAAATTTACTGTGTAAAATGGTTTTGTTACATTTGATGAAATCAAACAATCGACATTTTATTTGACCCCGTGCATATAGTATTAAACTGTCCGTCCGTCTGTCCAACTGTCTGTAAACTTAAAAAGGAAAGTTGGAATACCTATACTAATGGCTTTATAATTTACACACTTACTACTTAATACAAAATAAATGATCTTGTTAAAAAACATAAATAATGGCTTCCGTTTTTCCAAGATATTGCCCTTTACAGCAAATTGAAAATGGAAATGGTAAACTTTTATCGGCAAATTGGATATATTCTATCTATACTTATGGCTTAATTATTTCCACATTTACTCAATACAAAGTACATGATATTGCCACGATACATAACTGTAATTTTCCCTTTTATCACTGATAATAGGCAGTATTTGGATAATCTTTTCCGGCAAGTTGGATTATTTAAAAAATTTCTTTTAACTTCATTTATTTAATGATATCTTCCATATTTGGCGGGAGGATACCTTCAATGGTCCTTTAACTTTTTATACAGAAATACCTAGGCTTCTTTCTTTGTGTTAATTATTGGTCATTTGGGTCAAGGTCAACAATGTCAAAAATTGAATTTTACAATTTTACAGGTATAACCTTTTTCCATTGACTGACGTCTTTTATATTTCGTAGGAACGTGAAATTGAGAAATCTTCCTTTGGATGGACTTAGGGGTCAGTTGGGGTAAGGTCAACATTGCTAAAATAGATTCTTTTGCACTTTTGTCCAAACAACATTTATTTATTGACATATGTCAATCATATATGGTACGAAGATATCTTGTATAGAATTTTTATCGAGTAAGGGGTCAGTGGGTCAAGGTCAAAGGTACTATGATAGATTTCTACACATTTGCTCATACAGGTTTTATTTTTCGCCTGGTGTTTTCATTCTAGAAAGGATGATCACTTGCATGGTCTTCTTCCTTTGTATAGAGTTAGGGATCAGATGAGTCAAGGTCACCTATGTTGAAAATTTATTTTTACACTTTTGCCCATTCAGCCTATATCTATGGACAGATGCCTTTCATATTTGGTAGGAATATATATTGCATGATCTTCTTGCTTTAAATTGAGTTATGTGTCAGTGGGTTAAGATCAGTGGTGCCAAATATATACTTCTAGACATTTGCTTTTACAACTTATAATGATAGACTTGTGTGCAATTTACTTATTAAGAAGACGCATATCTCTGATGGTCCAGTGTAGGAAATAACAAGGACAAGGTCACTTGTGTTAAAAATAGATTTATATAATTTTTTATACAGCCTCTGTATTTGTTTTACATATTTCTCATATTTACATTGGAAACATACCTATTGTAGTCCTTTAAGTTTGCATGGAGTTAAGAGTCGCAGGGTTTAAGGTCAAGGTATTGTATTTATAAATATTTGATTAGTATGTTGAATATTTTTCAACCTCATAACAAGTCGTAGCAATGACTTGCCAGCTTCTATATTTCACACTTTGTCCAGTTATATACTGTGTTTACAATTTAATTTTTGGCAATTTCTCAGTCAAAAACTAAGTGAATGTTAAACCATTTATAAAGAAAATACTGACAAGAATCTGGCCTGGGGGCATTTGTGTTTAAAAAACACGTTCTTATTTATAAATTCCCTGCACCGAAATTAAGGGACCAATGTTTACAAGAATGGCATGCAATAGAAATACAATATAAATGATAGTTCTAAATTGTAGTCATATAGACAGTTAAGATGTAATATTGAGTATGAATATAACTTCTCTAAGAAATTGCTGTTAATACATATTTGAGGATTTGCTTATTATATCATTGATATCACACATAAGGAATCCATTTGTATACTGTAATGCAGATACTGTCAGTTTGACATTGTACATATTATATATATTGAGAATATGCCTATTACAGCATTACCATTACATCTATTCTGTAATATATTTTGATTTACTTTTAAAAAACAGAATTGTCCCATCTTGATTACGCAAGCACTGATTAGTTTTGTTGTGACATTTAAGCAACAAAAGTTCTTTTTTTTAATACGAAAATAGTTGTTTTTCTTACAGAAATTATTAAATGGTTTATCTAAAGATATTTTTTCCATAGCTATGTTAGCATAACAAATATAGCAAAAACTATTAAAAATAAAGAAAACTTTTTTTGAAAAACATACAACGACTATATTTAGCAGATACTGTATACATTCTTTTTCGTCAGGTATTTCTAGAGCCTCGGATGCGTCGGTCCACAAATTGTCGTAAAGCTCAGAAAACTGCTCGGCAAGTTTAGTTGCTCTGTATGGATCACTCAAATCAGCTATAGCTGGATTGTTGTCTGTTAAATTTGCTCCAGCCATTTTTGATAATCTGAACAAGACATAAAATATGACCAAAAAAGTTTTCAGTTTAAATTGTATACCTTTAACGATTGTGTTCATTCTTTACTCAGACGTTTAAGTGGAAAACATTTCTTAATTGTCAGATGTATAATGATTAAAAGCGGTGTTTCATTTATCAGACAGCTGTTTCTAGTGCTGTTAAAATGCAGTTGTTTTGAACACAAAACATCTTTTCTTTTTTGATCTTCCTTTATTTGCTTCATGTTTTAGTAAAGTACCATGCAATAATTGTACCAATGATGAGTTTTAATTACTTTATTGCAAAAAGGCCTGTAGTGATGTGTATTTTCTCTTATAATTATTTCAAAGGCCTTTTGTTGTGTTCCACCCCAGACCCACTTAACTAGTGTTTTAGCCTTTTTCTTAGACCCATTTGATCCTTTGTTGTCACCATGACCTTGTAAAAGTTCGTTTAAGGGTTGTACTATTTGGGCATAGTTTGGGACATATTTATGATAGTACCCTGTAAATCCAAGGAATTGTCTAAGTGTTTTTATATTTATAGGGACAGGCCAATCTTGTACAGCTGAAAGCTTATTTAGGTCTGTGGCAATACCATTGGCAGAAACACCATGCCCTAAATATGTAACTGAAGACTTGAAAAATTCACACTTGGAAGGCTTGACACGCAAATTATGAGTCGTTGAAAGACAGACTCTAACATGGAAATTTGTTCCTCAAAAGTGGACGAAAATATTAAAATGTCATCTAAAATTTTTTTTTATTTAAACATTCGTTGAGATGCATATCACCCATACATTTTTCCATGCAACGCTGAAAGGTAGCGGGGGCATTTGTTAAACTAAATCCCATTTTATTCCACTCATAGGAACCTAAGTTTCCTACAGAGAAAGCAGCTTTAGGCTTATTACACTCTGCTAAACCAATTTGCCAGTATGCAGAATGAAGGTGTATTTTAGAAAAATATTTTGAACCAGATAAGACATCAATAGTGTCGTCAAAGCGTGGTAACATGTATGCATCTTTGCGTGTTCTGTTGTTTAACTTACACCAATCAACACAAAATATCAGGGCACCTGTAGGTTTTCTCACACTAACAACATTTGGGGAAAAATGCGAATTAGATTCCCGTATAATATTGGCATCTAACATTTCTCTTATGTGCTGCCTAACCTCCTCATATAAAGCTAGAGGTATTCTGCGATACGGTTCTTTGAAAGGAGTTTCATCTCCAAATTCTATATGATGTTCAATTAAAACAGTGGTTTGGATTTCTTTAGTAGATGTACAAAAATGCCCTTCCATTTACCAAGAACCTGATAAAATCTTAAAGTTTGTTCTGGTGTTAGATTGGAAGAATCAACTGAAATGTCCTTGACTGGAGGTTCTGAAGGAACATCAGGAGAAATATAAGAAGAAATATCATCTATGACTTTAGCTTCTGTAATAGTACAGATTTCTGACTTGGGTTTGATAGTCAATATTTTAGCAGTCATGTTACAAACCTTGACTGATATTTTTGCAGAAACAGCATTATGTGCTTTGATGACACGTGGACAAACTGTATACCCTTTAAAGATCTCAGGACTTTCAGTAACTACAGAACATATAGACTGATCAAGATTCCTAGCAATGCCATTAAGTGTGATACTCTAAAATGGAAGTATTTTTACACTTTTCTTTCCACACACCTTTACAGGGTAAATATGAGAGTCAATACTATCCATAGCCATCTGCCACTGTTCAGGAATAGATTATTACTCAGGTACTTCCTTCACAAACATTTTACAACGGCGAAGTACATTTGTTCCAATAATTATTAGACAAGAAATATTAAAATCATTGTCTGGTATTACCAGAATAAAAATGTCAAGGTTAAAAGAAGATAAAAAAGGAACACATATAGTTGCTTCAATATAACATGAATATTGCAACGAAGAGCCATCTGCAATAGAGAGAGTAAGTCCAAGTGAATATAAGGCTTTTAAATGCAGACTGACTAATGGTAGAAACCAAAGAACCTGAATCTAGCAGACATTTGTAGGTATTTACAATAACACTGTGTTCATTTGCAAGTCCATTATGATTCTTTACAATTGAGCTATGTTGAGTCCTACTTGATTTATTTACAAATAATTTGGGCTCAGTGACACTAAGATTACCAACCTCTATTCTGCCTGCAACAGACATTATATCCATATACAAAGATAAACATGTATGCACATTACATTACTAATGCCCAGTTTCCACTAAAATAAATATAACATCCTATTAACATTGGTACTTGGATGGAATTCATAATCTTGTAGAAAGAAAACTATAATTAACAATTACATCCCTCTTTTGACCTTCCATTAGATTTTACTATATAACTAACTGCATATGTATCAAGTGTTTCAAGTTGATAACTTCAGGATGTTATCCTTTCTCTGTTTTAATATATGGACATGAGCACCTATATGCATAGCTTTAATTTTCTACCTTTCATTTTTACCAAAGGTGATTCTATTAACAATTTATTTACAAACACATAGAAAATAATTATTAGTTTCACATAGTGATTAAAAGATTCCTTTAGCAGAATACCTGTAGTAATGTTCTAACTGAACAAACTAAAAAAATCCAGTCTAATGTATATAAAGCCAGTAAAAAAAATCTATCAATATTCACTCCTCAGGGCCTCTATGCTTTTGATGACCTTACACCTGCCAATTTTTTAAAAACAAAAATAGTAGGTAATACCAAAGATAGACAGAAAAGAACAACTAATTTAGTAAACATGAGTTACTTCCCGTTAAAATAAAGAAAACCTGAAACCCAACAGAACAGCCTTAACAGAAAAATTATGAAATGTTGCAGGCTCAGTTTTATTAAGCCATGCAAAGTAATGGTAAATTATTCATAAAAAGTTTAGATGGCCATGTGACAACAGTATTTGCAGAAAATCGGAAAGCTTTCAACATTCGGATACTGGTACACTTTGTGAAAACAATCATTCTGTGCAATAGATAAACGTAATATGGATAAAATCAAAAGGATAATCGTTTAAAACAGTTCCATTACCTATCCTAATACTCATTTGCAGGTGAACGTTCTTCTTGTAGGAAAATTTTGAAAATATATAAATAAATGATAAAGAATACTGCATCAATGTAGACCACAACGATATTCGAAATCCGGGTTTTAGTATTGCCAATAAAGCTAAAGGACAAGCTGTTAAACTGAGCCTGCAATTTCGTGAAAATAATATCACAATGAACATGATTTTTTCATAAGGTTATTAAATACAAATATAACAACATATTTGTTTACTCGATTTTTACGAATCAAAATACAACAAATTAACACAACATGACATTAACTGCTTATAGTAACAGCTCCTTCCATAGGCCAAAATAAAACGCATTATATAAGAGACGAAAGAGACGACACCGCTCACCGGTGTCGCCAATAACAATAATGGTACATTCAAATTAATACCCAGTTAAAGAAGCAAATACTCCATTTAAACTTTGTGCACGTCAAAACATAACATAAAGGAGTCATATTAAACAATCTGAAAATAAATGGAGATAATTACCTCTTAATGGTTTCCTTAGCAACTTCTTTCTTAATTTTACTTAGCTGATTTCTTGCATCAAGTATGTCTTTCACTAATTTTGGTTGGTTTTTGGTGACCTTTTGAATTGCAGGTTCATCTGTATCAGCAAAATGAGTTAGGTCATTCTTAAGAGATGTTATTTCTGATTCTAATATTTTCTGAATGTCAGTCAACCTAGAAGAATATACATGTATATATCACAAGTAACTATATTCTTACATATCAAAAAGTGTTAAAATCTAAAAAAAAGGAACACAAAAACAACGTTGATTACAACAAAGGCATAGAAACTCATAATAAACATATCGAATCTGAGTCTGTTTGTAAGAGGTAATGAATATTGTAACATATCTCAAGGCCCCTATCACCGGTGATTATTTATAGGTTTGTTCGGTATTTATTCAGTTGTTCCAGGACAGTTGATTTGATGATCATTAAAGTTTATATGAATGTAATCGAGCAAGCACCTTTTAAAAAGTGAAACAAATACAACAAACATTAAAGCCTACGCGCAGCTTCATTACAATTTAGTACCCGGCTCATTTATATAGTGTTCATTCAACACACAACCAATTTCCTATAACAAAATTACGTTGCTAGGAATTAAGTACGAGAGGCAGTAGATTTACTTTCAGAATGGTTGCCTTTTGGAAATGAATTGGTATTTTTTTTGCAAATTCTTGCATGCATGGCGTGCATTCTTGTAAACTTCATAAGCCTTTACGGAAATACCCTGAATTAAACCAAAGGTTCTGGATTGTTTTGATTATTACAGTCCCGTCCATATAAAATACTATCAATACATAAATGGAAGAGCTAAAGATTTCATGACCATCATTGTATATTCAAGTTAATATATAAATGCGCATAATGGCGACTTTGCTTTATTGTAACGTCATTAAATACCATTTACGCCAAACAGCAATCGCAGATTGAAATTATTTGAAACTGCATGCAAAACGTCGTAGGTGTGTGTGAACCTACTTGGTGAATTTATTCTCATATCAAATAAAGACGTTTTATTGGACAATTCTCCGTACGCGTGCTAGCAAATTCTGACTCCTGTTATTCGTCAACTGCCGTTTACTGTTGGGATATTGAAATATCAAATGTGCCCAAATCATGAGAACATGACGGGCGTTTGACCATTTTTAAGCTGCTCACGATATCTCACGAAAGCTCATATTTTCTGATCCTTTGGCAATATTTCAAAATAAATAAACGTTTTAACTACAGTCCATTAAAACTTGTAACATTAGAATCTTACATACCGCTAGGACTGACATGATCTTAAACTATATCATGCGCTATGACGTATGGGAGACCGGGACACAGTGGTGTTATTTCTTTAATTCCATTCTGAGAACAATATATATATATATATATATATAAGATTACTTAAATATTGTTCTCTAGGAAATTTTAGTAATGTGTTTCTCTTTGCCTCGGTTGCGGCGTAAAGTAAATCAAGGCGTGAGCCAAATTATATAGTTACTATAATAATAAATTGAACGATAATGGCATTCAATGTATATTAAGAAAATGACAAAATTCCATAATACACTATTTGGCATAAACATTTACACGATATATAAGGTATATAACGTTAATAGATTTATCACTGTTAATTTAGAATCGTTTAGGATTCAAAACTTTTAAATTTTACTTAACACGTTAAATTGTGTGACAATTATTCTTAGACTAGTTAAAATTGTATACACCATGCGCTAAGAAATCATTTCTTAATTAATCTTGTATATCACAAAAGACCTTCATTAAACGTTTACATACACCTTCAAAGGGTGTGTCACAGTTTCAGAGGCTAAAAGCATAATCTACAGATGCTCCCGAGATTTCGACAAGAGCCCAAAATTACATGTATTTATAATATTGCATCCATACTTTACAAAGGTTATTGTAATATAATTGGAAGAAGATTTAATAAGTATTTGCTGTCCTAATCTGAATAGTTTTCCTATATCTTTTCCGTCATTTCTAATTATTTTCAATTTATGTGTGTTTTAAACTTTTTATTCTCCATTTATTCTAGAGTAAATTCGTATATGGATATACCTGTGATTTGGAGATCCCCAATATCAATGATGCTAAACAATATTTTCGTGCATAAAAATGATATTTGGTTTTATCTTTTGATAGTATGTCGGGCAAAGTCATACTGTTTCAGTTTGTCCGGACTATGCTGTTCAACTTTGCCACATACACCTTTTGTCACATGAGCTGTTTAAAGTCTTATTGTATGTTTTGGTCTTGCATGAATAAACTATATTTAATCGATATCTAATAAGAGATTTCTTGTATTAATAATTTTCAATGGAACAAATAAAAAAAACAACCCAAAACTGTAAAACATTCTCCCGCGTACGAAAGAAGCTGTCATTTTCCCACGATATGGTAATCGAAAATTTTCAAACTATATGAAGTAATGACGTGATGAGCAACGTACCCTGTACTAGTACGTTTTAGAGATTGTTTCACTTTGCCCCGTGTTACACGCTGGATAAAAATACGTTATACGCTTATGTGACATAACCATGGTTATTTACTGATAATAGCTTTAACGATACCAGATTTCAGTTAATTAATACTTTTCTAAATTTGATGTTCAACAGCTTAGTTTAAAAGGGAGAACATCAAATTTGTAATGCAGAGATCACCGACTCGATCTTCGGGTGGGCATTTCTTTCAAGGCTTTTGATATCTTATAGCGATATTACGTGCTTAGGAATTGGAAATAAGTGATGTGTAGAAATAACTTTTTTTCTGCGTAGCAACTGAAACGAGAAAGGTATCGCTAGTTGGGTGCCTGACGTTGGATCATTTGGAACGTAGTTTGAAATAGGCCATCAATCTCCTGTGACTGTTTGATTCGGTAGGACAAGACATTTTTATCAAGATGTTTTTGTTATCGCCAAATTGTGGTTGATGTTATGATCTTTGTAATTACTTGTTCATTTCATTAATTCTAGTATGTACGAGTAAAAACAATATAGAGGAATTTCTAAGAAACAAAGTATGTATTGAGGATATCACAAAAATGATTTAAAATATATACCTACCCTTTGCCTTTATCACAAATGTTGTTTACTTTAACGCAAATGTCTTCCAAACAAGCCTTTATTTGATTTTCTTCTTCACTGCCTTCTAGCTTTTGAAAAAACTTAACGTCAACTTTATTTGCGTCTATTTGCTCTTCCAACTTCTTAAGGCATGTAATGACTTTTTCCATTCTAAGATATGAACGAGAATAGACTACAATAGTGCTTAATATATTATTTACACTGATAAAAAGACAACAACACGATTCAACTCTCATATTTCATTACCTAGGAGCTAAATCGCGCATTAGTTTAGACATATCACATTTCAAAAATTTCAGGAACAGCAAACTGTGGAACAGTGTAATTTATTACGATAGTTTCAATGCCATTTGTTTTAAATTATGAACCACCCTAACACTTTCCTGCCACTTATCTATTTACAACAGACATTAATCATCATCTCTATATTGATATGAGCTACATATACGAAAACAATATGCACACAACTTTAGATGATATTGAGCTTTGAAGACATACTGTAAAATTCTGTATATAGAGCTACTAGTAGTATATTGGTAACAAAGAATAATTAATCACCTTGCTTTAGCTTCACGTTCTACATTCTCTGTGGCATTCTTTACGAGTTTGTCTTGGGCTTTGCCTTTTACGTTAATCATGACACTGAAAGATACAGTTCACATGTGAAATAACACGAATGAAATATCAAGACAAAAGTTTGACTGTTTTTACTAAGAATCGTTTTTCAAATAATTATATATAACATGCCTTTTTGAAGGATCCATTTATTCATGTGTTAACAATTTCGTGTACGCAGTAAATTCAACTTGGTAATTATAGTGTCAAGATAAATAAGATAAAATAAAGGGAAGTATAAACACAATGATTTACCTTGTCATTTCAAGACGGGCTATGATTCTGAAAAAGAAAATTTAAATATCGTAATACATATCTTAGCATCTCAATAGAGATATATTTGATTAAAAGGTATATTTTTGGGAGAATATTCAATTAGAAAGACATATGCTTTTATCCATTATAACCCACAAAAACTCCAAGTTCTGTTTTCTCGTAGAAAGTATCAAGATATTTTATCATTCATTTATCATTAATTTTTCTTCTTCATATTTGAAATACTTTTATCATCATAAGAGAGTTGTCATACCTGTCTGTCTGTTCATGTACTCTGTCAAATTGTTGCTTAATTGGAGACCTTTTCTCCTTGATCCCCGCATTACTGGATTTTTTGTCAGTATTTTCCTGTATAGAATTGTTTTTACATGCGTTTTCGAGTTTATCTATCAATTTTTCTATTTCATTTCGACATTCATCGTTATCAGTATCTTCCTTTACACTGAAAGCATAACAAATCGTTAAGTACGTTTTTGCAAAAATGTGACTGTGATTTAAATTGTATAATAAGACATTTGCTAATGCAATTAAACATCCTTTGCAAAAAGGTGTAATGCTGCAAAAAAACTAAAACTAATTGTATAAACAGATGTGAAAGAATGTAAATATGCTTTCCAGGATACGTAAAACTGTCATCTAAACAAAATGTGTTGGAAATACTATAATTGGTTTAAACACTTATTGCTTATTTCATGGGCATATCATTAACAATGATTGCGAGCAAGACCTTAATTATTCTGCATTTATGAACCTGACTCCTAAGACTTCTAATAATACAAATTAAAGATCGGAGATCCCTCATCTCCTTTTCGCTTAAACAATTCATATTCTAATGTCATGCAAATGTTAAAAAAATCTTATGGAAAAGTTTTCGTTTTGTCTGTTTAAAATTCAGTAATCCTACCTAAGTAATTATCATTTACATAAAAATGGTTATAGACCTAAGTGAATATGACAATATTACATAGAAATTAACCAAAAGTTAATTTACCTGACAAGCTCACGTGGTGTCTCTGCCTTTGTCCTTTTTCTTTCAGTTCCTTGTCGGCCATTCAAACTAAAAGTAAGCACCAAATAATATCTTAAGAATAGAAATCATAAATTTTTATGCTACTTAATATATAATTGCCAAATCATTAAAATGGGTATTATAATGATATACCTAGTTCTTTGGAAAAGATAAATTTAATGTCTGTTTTGGTTTTGCTACAATTATAATTTATAAAGTAAAGTATTAATCATGTAAAATAAATACCCTGTTTAATCGGCAATTGTGTATCTAAATGAACAATATTTTCACACTCTACAACGTCATTAGTTGTTATCGAAATATTTACATTAATTACATAACATTCTACTGTTACATCTTAACACGAACCACCGCTAACCGTGCCAACGCTTGAAAAACTTTGAAGGATGAATATTGTAGTATGGAATTATCCAAGAAAACATCATTTTCTTTTATTAAATTACATGTAATTATAAATTCTTATTATATGATCTAAATATAACTGGAACTTCATTGGTCCAAACAAAACAAAACTATACAATCATATTCATTTGGTGTAGTATCATATTCACTGGCCTTATCTTAATATACATTGAGACTGTTATTGAATTACTTTTCATCGTAGACTGTATATTATTGTTGCATTTTGTTCTTTATGGTATATTTCTCGATTAAAATATCATTACTTTAATATGCGTCTTTTTATATAAGGATGTGCTTTTGTGATTTTTTAAATCTTAGACTATACACACACAATAAAACAATTATTGACTAGTGAGCCATTGAATATGATGTGATATCGCCTCGGTCAATATGTCATCTGCCGTTGAATATCACGTCATATTCAATGGCTCACACTTGTCAATAATTGTATAGAATTTGACATTGACAAGGTACAAGTGTTGTTTTGTTCAAGTCTGACTATTAATTATAATAAATAACAAAATTATGACAATTCAAGCAAACAACATAAACACTTTGGCATAACGGTCAAGTTAAGTTTGTTTTAGTTCAAGTTCAAACCTGAATAACAAGACTTGCCAGTTTTGCAATGAGGATCAAACTTGAATAATAGGGTTTGCCAGTATTGCAATTAGTGTTATTTTTCAAGGAAATTTAAGGGTCAAGTCATATTTCCAATTTCATTTAATGTGTTTGGTCATAAGTGTTCTTTATCTTAGAATGATTCAAATCTGTAAATAAATAACACAGTTATGACATTTTTTAAAAATTAAAATTTTTGACCTTGAAGGTTAAAGCATTTTATTATTTTCATTAAAATTCTTTTGTTAAAATACTAAGTCCGTAAAAATAATAAAGTTATATTAATTTGAGCTGAATTTAAGAATTTGTGACCCATTGCCAATTCCATTTAAGGTTAAGGTCTTCAATTAGTTATTCTAGTTTCAGCAAAATTCAAGCAAACTTTAAAGGCAACATTTATTCTGATCAACTTGAAGGTGTAGTTTTTGTATGACGAAAATCCCTTTATAAATATATATATGACCAATATTAATTTTCAGGTAACAACAGGAATGACACCATGACTGTAGCAAGAGCTTTTCCTTTGAAAAAAGTGAGCCAAAATTGGTTTTTTAATTTGTAAAGATACTAGTATAATAAAGTATAAAAATTATACACATACATAGGACCGCTTTCTTTGCTTTGCTTACGACCACCGACCGCCCCACTCTCGTCTGTTTTTGTTTCACTTTAAAATAACCATATGATTATATATTATATATGTATAAACTAGTTTCATGATTGTGAACAAAACTAATTATATAAAATATCATGGCACTAATTGGGAAGTAATTCTGATTATGGATCTCTGTTCATTATCATGCATTATGAAAAAGGAAAGTGCATATTATTTATGATTTATTGATTTGTCAATTTCCAACGAGTATAAAGATGGTGCAAGATCAAGTTTAATGTTAAAATGTTTTTTTTTTTTTTAAAAATATCATATCTAGATGTACCGTTACGGTAGAATTTTGCATACTTACATTATAACACTTAAAAATCCAGCTCCTTTCTTCTGCAATTTTAGATATATATATATATTACTATAAATGTATAGTATATCCATTAATATGGTTTTGATTGGTGTTTGATACTAGTATATGTCAAAAGAGATTATGACAGCTCTGTAATTTTACATTTTATCTATTTTGTATTTATGCATTTTCTGTGATACATTTAAGTTTATGTTTCTTTAATAGAAATATTCCTATGTCACACAAAACTATATTTTAAGGACCAAAAGTGAAAAAAGTTTTTTTTAGTCCGTTGTGTTAACCTTTAGAACAATGTTGTCTGGTCTGAAATGTCTTTAATTCGTTTATTTGCAAGAGTTGATCATCACATGCAGCGTATTTTTCTCACTTTTGACAAGATAACATGTCGTTTGCACAAGTCATCATTTTACTTTGACAAGTTAACAAGTTTCAAGTTTATTTCAAAGTACATTTGGACAATATGTCCATGCATACACAGTACATATAACAAAGCATACAATACAATCAAATGGTCAATGTCACACTTTATAAAACATATATCATTAAGTTACAAAGTATTTTTAGCAATCAGAAAACGTAAACTATAGATAGAATATACTATCAACATGTCTCAATTCATATACTGGTAAATAGATACTAAGGAAAGATACCATCCTATTAATAAGGAAGTAAATCACAAAACAAAACGAAAATAAGTGTATGTAAGATACAGTTAGACAGCGTTTGGGACAAACTTTTGATTAACTATAAAGAGTAGTGTTTCGAACATCGAAAGCTTTAAATATATACATTGATAAGTTTCTAATTTCTATTTCATTTTCTGAATTCATCAATGTAACAAATTTAGGTATATTTGGTCTTTTCCAAAAGTGTTTTTTATATATTTTTTTCGTAATTCATTATATAGAGAACATTCTAAAATAAAGTGAAATTCATCTTCAAAAATAAAACAATTTGTACATTTCCTATCATCAAAAGGTATAGCACTAGGTTTATTCCATGTCCTGAACATGTTATCTGCGCATGTCATCATGATAATTTCACAAGTAAACATACTGTTTGAACAAATCAGTATGGTCCTTTGACAAGACATGATGTGAATCGCACATGTAAACATGCTAAAACGAAAAAATAATATCATAGTTTCACAAGATAGCAAAAACATTGAACACATAAGACAGTCACGGCGTTCCATAGCGTTATCAAGGAATGACAGACGGACGGAATGACGGGTGCAGGGTAAACCTCAAGTCCCCTCCGGTAAACCGATAGGGTACTAAAAGGTGAATAATAAAGTGCAATATGAAGGTAAGTTAAATACTATCCTAAAAACTGTTTCGTTACACATGCACGCCTACATCGTTCAAAATTAGTCTTTTTTATTGTAATACAATATAACACCATTCTTATATATCATATGTTGCCTTGAGTAACACTGAAGAAGCATTTAATTTCAAGATGTATCAGTATTCATTTGTATAAAATGTACATTTATAAAGACTAAAACAACTATTTTTCATCTTTATTTCAAAATGTTAGCTTTTAAACTTATCAAAAGGACAAACTATGAAATGAAAACACTTAAAAAATTAACTTTTTGTTTTGCGCATCATTATTTGATTTTTCCTATACAAATGTACATGATACAACAATAAAAGCAAACAACTTTGATTTCAATAAATTTAAAGACCGTTTTGCTAAAATGCATGTTTAAATATCATTATGGTCAAAGAAAGCGAACCAGTTTCCGCATCAAATAATAAAATGTATTTCATGTTGATAACACTGTTATACTAACAAGACTTCATGCTGGTAGCAGTCATGAACTTAAAAGTACAATAATATACAATGTTCTTAAAAGTATTTCATGTTGGCAACACTCATAAACGAAAAAGTTTTCCATGTATTTATCACTCATATATTTAAAGTTATTTCATGTTGGTAACACTTATATACAATGTACTTAAATGTATATCATTTGATAAGATTATTGTACTGAAAAATATTTCACCTTAACACTTATATACAATGTGCATGTACTTAAAGTATTTCAAGTAGGTAACACTCTTATACTAAAATGTACTTCATGTTGTTAACACTCATTTACTTTAAAGTGCTTCATGTTGATAACGCTCATAAATTTGGTAACACATATTTGGTAACACTCATTAACATAAAAGCCAACAGGTCTATGCATAAAAGACATATTGCATTAACAGATAGCAAATCTTAGCAGTCATATTATTAAAATCAGTGCATGTTTTTTCCTCAGTAAAATCAGAAGCACAATATATTCGTGCATGTTGTCAAAAATGTAACGCCCGAAACAAATGATAGGTGCTTTTTTGCGAAGTCAAACGTTTGCAAAGTTATTATTTTTATTTTCTTCTTCACTTAAATAATTTTAATTTTGGTTAATCTTCCTAAAGTTATGTTTGATTATTCGTCTTCGTAAAGTATTGTTATTTCGTTCAAGTGTATAAAGCTACATTCCTGCCTGCGTTGGTGCGCGCGAGCCAATGTACTTGTACTATTTATCTGATGCTGATAGATCATAGATCTTCGCTATACCGGCGGTGCAAGAATTTATCTATATTTGTGTAATGAATCGTTAAGTTTCATATGTGTTTCAGCTTCGAAACTCCATCTATGTAAAACCAGCACTATTCATGAAACTGGGGTGAGAAATAGCCTTAAGTATGTGTAATTCTGTTAGCGTTGACATGCATAAACGAAAGACCAAACGTGAACAGTTTATGTGTTTACGATAAAATTGATAACAGTTTCTAAACATAATTACATTCATATCTTGAACTATATCATAAGTATGTGGCGTTTGTAATTAAACTCGACATTGTACGATCGTGAATTATTCAATGACAGGCATAGTAGTTAGATTTATTCTGGCACTTTATTCACTATAGAGGTATGTGGAAAAAAAGTCTTTTATAATGTTTTCAAAAAAGTCTCAGTTGACATGTGTCTGAAGGAGGCGATGGGTATGCATATGCATATATAGGTATGCATATGAAGCGAGACTTTTGGACTTTAATTACGGTAATTGCAAGATAGTTTATAGTAGATATTAATAACATACCCGTTATTAACCAGGCATTCTTATATGTTCTAGACTTCATGGCAATTGTATATCTAGAGTTGTCATTTGTGTTACCATTTGCCTGTGTGTGAGGTGACACAATTGTGGAAGATTATTCAAGTCTGGCAAGTGTTGTGTATAGAGTACTTTTGTCAGTGTTTGCATTTGCTATAACCTTTGGTTTGTTTGTTAGGGAACCGCAAATGTTTTACTACGTCTGTTATTGAGGACTTGGCATTTACAGGGGTTAGATTTCATATTATTTACTTTGAGAAAACTCTCAAGTTTCTTTGGATCATCTTGTAGAATATGACAATCGGAAAGGAAAGTGACTGTAAGGTACACATCAGAATCATCTTTCAAATTGTCGTTCTGAGAAAGTGGTCATTTCTGTAAAGGAGAAAAAGAAGGAGCTCGGAACTGACCCCTGAATATGAGCATATATGTTTATATGACTATGACGTGCCATTATTGATAGAAACAGATAGATGAACATGTAATACTTACAACTTTTGATTCTAACTCTTTAAGTTTTTCGTCGAATTCCTTAAAACGCGAACCATTGGTTCTATTCCTTATAAGTTGTCTTATATTCTTTATTGCGGCATCATATTTTCTCTTATCGGCCTGTAAATAAGCTTTACCTTGTTAATATAAAAGTTTGTAAAATAAATCAATATGATAGGACATTTAAAGTCCATAACACATGTTTTGAAAGAATATCGTTCAGAAGTCAAAATCTTAAAGATACGAAAACTAATGTTTACTTTGGTATAATAAACTTAATTGAATAAAACTATGGTATAAAAATATCACTACAGTAAAGGTTTTAGGATACATGAAGACAACTTGTAAAATGTTACCACGTATAATAATATTATGGTGATAGTTTTAGATTTAGAGATATTTTCAGTTATTCTTTTACAATTTGGCAATCAAAAGTAATAAACTATTAAAATCATTTTTCTTTAAATCATTTTTTCACCATACATTGCAAACTACCATGTTGAAGGCATATATCTAAAATTTGAAAAATGTGTTGTAAACACATATACATACCTCTAAAATAGCATTCTCTAACTTTCTAATTTCTTCCTGGAACTCGGACAGTTGGTGTTTATATTTATCTTTGAATCGGACATCATCTGCAACACCTTTAAGTTCTTTGAATTTGAATGAAGACATTGGAATGGTTGAATTTTCCAGTCAGGACATTCCTTTAAAAAAGATGTATAGAAAATCATATGACAGTTAAAAATTAAAGCTTATCCAGTCTAACCACGTTGGCTCAAACTTGGAGGGCCCATACTAATTTGTCTGAGAGATTATGAGTTCGACCTAACCGAGGTTGAAGTATTATCATGTATAATAAGATCTTATTTTACATAAGATATTGGCACGAATATTATCCATGTTACAGCGGTCGAATGTAAAAATACGAATTATTGTCGAAAATAATACTTATTGTTGCTGTCATTAGGCGACAGTGTTTAGAATGATTTCTAGTTACATCCATGTTTGTGTAGCAAAGCGAGGTTTATCTCATTTAAACCCTAAAGTCCTTAGATGGCACCTAGGGGCAGAACGTGAAAGACTGCATACTTTGTTCAAACGAGCAAAATGGTTGCAAACTTGACAAAATCCACCAGAGTGAGTCATAAAACATATGTTTTGTTAATGCATGTACTGTATAAGTGTTTTAATTGGCATGTCAATACACAAAACTTATCTTGTTCAAGCACATTTTTATTGCAAACTTGTACTTTAAGAATTTGTGATTGCAAACTTAGGCGTCAATAAAATTGCTGAAATGGTGTGAACGGAACTATATTCATAACGCGACAACGTCCTCCGATTATGAAAGTAAATGTTTAACTTAAATTATAACATGATTTTCAACTGAAAAAAAATTTAAATATGTACATTGTATTCTCATTTCATGTATGCTTTTCTTTCCCGTGCAATTTCAGTAAAGCTATTTAATAACTTCACAATAATTTATAAAATGTATCTTCCGTGAAGTTTTTTTAACTAACTTAGAATCTTGCAATTAAAAAACTACCCACGCACACTTTGGTTGTGAAACAGGAAACATATTAGAACAAAGATCGAAAAGGCAGAGCAACGTATACAGAACGCAGCATCAAACAAAGTACAATCACACTGAACAACCTCATAGGCACCCAGTTGGGCACTGGGCAAAGCAGAAGTGGACAGAAAAGGTTGGGCATAAAGTCGTCGTGCCAATTGACAACCATAAAAATGTCATAACCATATTAAAGGTAAAATATCACAAATGAAACTGATTGTAAAGGAAACATCTGTGATCGTTGGTGAATATTTTTTCAATTTTAGAATCGACTCAAAAATAGTAAGTTTGCAACCAAATATTGGTAGAAGTACATGTTTGCAACCAAACTGCTATCAACAAAATATTTTTGTGCATTGAAATTTTACTTGGGACATGCAAATCAAAACATTTGCACACTATTGAAAAAATATATCTTGTCTTGTTTGATAACCTTCCAAACTAACAGATGTGGATAAATGAGTAGAATAATCACTTGTCAAGTCTCAAAATATATACATCTTCAGTAACTTCGTCAAATCAAAAGCAAGGAAACCAAAACCGAGTGAGCCTTAATGAACGGGCGTATTCAAATACATTTGTACTCCATAATAATATACTAACCCACTAACCTTTAGAAAATATGTGCCAGTGTTATAAATGTTCATGACTGTTGCCATTTTGTCCAGTTTGCAACCATTTTGCTCGCTTGAACCAAATATGTTCAACCACTTCATCCCTTGGGTACACTGTGTTAATAGCGAGCACGACGAGCTGGCCCGAATGGCCTGCTGGCAAAGCGAGCTTTACGGTAACGCGAGTACCTGCTAGATAGTGGTTTTGAAAACTTTCGTCCGAAGTACCGAATTGACACACTTTTCGAATTACAAGATAACGATAAAAGCCGATGTACTCTGATTGAAAATTTGAAGCGTAGACTTGTGTCCTGCGCACTTATATTAAAACCACAATAGAAAGGGGGGGGGGACACAAATAAACGGAAGCAGTGTATATCATACCGAATGACAATTTTAAAACGGAAAATGTAAAATAAAAATGAACGATTATTTTAAACTATTTTACGGTAAAAGAAAATCGACCTCACTTTGAAGCTTTGCCTTTTTCATATTTTATATGCATATTGTAACTGGTTGTGTTTAATTGATTGAGTCATCGTTTCCCAAACATGTTGAAAAATGTTTAATATGTTTTTATATGCTTATAATGCTTTAAATATAATTAAAAACAATGATTTCGTACAAAGTTTAGAAACCATTTTACAAATGCATGTATTTATAGTCATAATGAAATGTTTCGTTCTCTAAATACCGGTAGATAATTTTCTTGCCAAAGATTTATGTTTTTCTTCGCATTTGTTTTTGCAGATTTTTAGATTTCAGAATAATTCTCAGTCCTAATTACGCTTGTGCAAGTTAAAAACTTGTGTATATTTTACTTATTTTTAACAAAAAAATTGTTTGCGTCATAACTAAAGACGGCAAGTAAACTTGTATGATCTTAACAAATAAATCGGTTAGCGAATAACACATCTACTTTTGTATAAATTAGCTTTATTAATAATTTTAGATAAATATTTTTCGAGGGTGCCGGCTTTTTTGTATTAATATGCAGTGCGCCTTGAATGTGAAAACCAACATATTCTTGAATGGTTACGAGTATATAGCCATGCTGGTTCTCAAAGCGCACCGGGTATGAATGTGGAACAGTCGAGAGCCACGTTTTAATTTTTATATATAAACCCTCTGCTAGCCCCTCGGTCACATTCATCTTATTCATTCTTTATTCCTCCGTCAGCAACTTGATAAATAATAACATATCTCTTGTTAAGAAATAAGACATAAAAACAACTATTTAAAATATAATTATCGCAAGAATAGCTGTTGGAAGAACTACATTTTAATAAAAAGAAGCGATGAATGCGTATTATACATGATTTACACCATAACTTGATTTAATTGCTTCCTTTATCAAATACAAATGTCTTGACTTTTCTCGTGTCACACATCATATATAAGACTATCACTTTATAGAAACTTTAAAAAATCAAATGCTATGGTGATGAAGCGCACGATGAATTATATTTTTCATAGGAAAAAAAATCTCTTTAATATGCATTTAAAATGATAATTTCCACCAATTTAGCTACTCATTGATTTAAAATTGGCGTGTACAGAGGATGTTACAAGATAAAGATTATGTAAAAAAGGCTTAATCAACCAGTTGCTAAAAAAGATAATATATGCTGGTGATGGAGAAAAATCTTTCGGTTAGATTTCTGATACTTAGGATGAAAATGACAACCGATCTGCAATATTTGCGCGATAATGGAGGAGTCACATTCCTTAATCTTTGAAATACAGAAAGCCTCATTCAAATGGTTAATATATAATCTTTAAAAAAGCTTTGTATTGTGCAGGATTTTTCTGTCCTCATTATCAAATATAAATTGTAAAATATGTTTTATCATATTTCATAATGATAGAGGTATGCGAATAAAAAACCTCAAGTATATATAACTAATACATATTCAGTAAATGAATTGAAAAAATTCACATAAATTTTAATCCAGCAATGTAAACAGCAGATTGAGTAAATGATATATATTCAAGATCAAATAACAATGTAAATATTGGTCAGATATATATCGTGTGTTCAATAAATTGTCTTAAATTCTGTTTTTACCAAAATGCAGGGACGGTAGATATAACTAGATAAATATTTCAGATCAAGTAAGTTTGTAAAAATTATTTAGGTATATTATATGTACGAGGGATGATCAAAAATTAACCGGACTTTGTAAATGATTCTTTACCTGTTAAATGAATTTACATGAAAATACACGGAAAATATTAACAAAGAAAAAGTTATGCTGTTATTGGCATGTACATGTAAAGCAATGCGGCGCACCGTATAACTTTTGAAGTTGACGTTAACGACGTCACAAGCGTATTTTCCTTAACGGAGCAGCTTTTTACTCATTCACGGAGTAGGCAAATAAGTGGCACGGTCATGTTGTTGATGCAGCGAATTCACTGCCTATATATATTTCTGTACAAGTGGTTATCATATTGTATTATAAAAGAATGGATGATAATAAAGAGCTCCTGTAATGACGCAAACTTCCGTTCTTTCCTTCTGTAACTTGATTGTTGGAAAAATCGCACTAGCAATAAACTATATTATGTATTACAAATGATGTAAAATAATGTTGCTGAATGATAATGTATCATACATAAGAAAGAAAAAATAAAAGAATAAATTAACTATGAACAAAATTGTCATTATTTCAAAATAAATAAAACGCATAGCCGATTTTGAACAGTGACTGTCTAACTGTTTACACAATTTCTCCATAAAACTACTGCGTAAAATAAGAAAATAATTGATACAATTGTACCAAAGAATACAATATATGTAATTAATGCATTAACTATTATCATTTTAAAATCCTTAGAGTTGACTGCACCGTCCCGTAGCTACTGTCGAAAATCGTTGACAATGTCCGCAGTCAATCGGCTGGCATTTTTCAACGTCTTGGCGATTGACGTCACAAACGTCCTTGAAAATTTCTTTTTTCTGTCTCTCCCTTACTTGTTTTCTATTTGTCTATTACCCTTTTTTAATTCTTTATGCTAATCAAAAAATATGTTGTGGCTTTCTGGAACTTTTCCCTTGATAGCCATAATCTTTTTCTACGTTTTAAACAGTTTCTCGTCTTACTTTTGACAAATTTTTCTTATTGATTGATTTTCGAGACATTCCGACGACATAGTTTTAACGGTAATATTTCATTAACATGTGATGTTTGAATCGTGATTGCAAATATAAATATGGTTTAAATGAAATAATTTTTACTGACCATGTCAAAGATATGGTTCATGACGTTTTGGCGTATTTTGAAATCTAAATGTGCCATACTGTTAAATATACGCAGCTTAAAGCGTCTGATGTCAAGGCGAATTTACGCACTGTGCCGGGTGTGCGTTACCATGGTTTTTGAATTCACTATTACGGACAAGCTATTGGCGTTATCAGATTAGATATACCATCAGCTTACAGGTATTGTTTTCCGATTAAGTGTGATATATATCAATTGACAGTCACAGTCCGGTTTATTTTTTATCATCCCTCGTATTAAACAAATTGTCAAAAATCCTGTTTTAACTAACATGTAAGGGTGGTCGCTATACATTTCCGTACATATTTATATATAGATTTCTAGCTATCTTTATCATAAAAGTTACTATACGCCAATTATATATTATATTATCTATAACTCAAAATTATGTTTATGACATTATGCATATATATTTTTATAACATATGAACCGTGGGTTTCTTTGTGAGCGCCACACTTTTAATTTAAATTGAAGATTCATTCACGAATTCTAAAGATGATATGAATCGCATGTGTTTGAATATTTTATAGGTCCAGTTGTACAACAATTGAGGTTCGTATGAATAGAAAATATTGAAGTATCAAATTAAATGCACGGTAGCCAATATATAAAATCTGATTTTGTCAATAGTATACTTTACGTGATTCATTACCCCTTATATATACATAATATATCTTGATATTATTAAAGCGTCATATCAGTCTTGAAACACATTGACCCGGATTATACAAAAGGGTTACATTGCCAAATTGTGCGACTTAGTATGCAGCTCACTATAGTTTCCATTTCAATCAGTTTGTTATAATGAAATTATGCTGATTCAGTAACTAAAATGTAAAATATATATATACATTTTCTTCCGTAAGTGAAAGAACAAAAGCGATTATTTTAAAGGAAATAGGGTTAAACAACAGCTCACTTTCGTGTTAAATGACGACATTATGTATGTATATACAGATGACTCATACAACAGATTTCGAATACTTTTCAAGCTGCATGCCTCCAGATGAGCGAAAGTATTTCAAGAAAATCATATTTGAAAAAATAGTAAAGTTTTAAGAAAAGTATCCAAGTAATAAATTAGAAGTTATATGCGATTAATCTGGGAGTTATAATAAGTCCTAGGATTAAGGACTGGTTTTGTGGTATTTTTCACACATATTTCTACAGCGTGATTTGCAAAGAATGCGCTTTTTTCTCAAAATTTATTTGACCTTTTTTTGGCAGTTGACCTGGGATTGTACGTGCCGGTTACAATGTTTAAAATTACGTTCGTTGTTCACTTCACGTTTGAATACATTTTTCAAATATCATGAAAGTAAACATGAATCTGGAGGCGTTTTGCTTGCGAATCAAAATGATTATACATGTCAACTCAAGAAAAATCTAGTTTATATCTTGTACATGCACTATTTTTTCTAACTGTGCCATTATTATCTTGTAAAAAAGTAAAACTTGCAATTGACCTATGAGCCTATTTTCATAGTTCACTAATTACTTATTCAGTGACCATGGGGATAAGTAATCGCTTATTTGAAAAGAAGTTGGTGATATTACTGGTAAATCTTGGAAAACTAGTTTTAAGAAGGACCGACCGTCAAAATAATATGACTAAAGGACGTGTTGAAATCGGCGTAAAACCCAGACAATACTATAGTGCAGTACTATATAACTAACTATATACACTGACAATATAGTGTTAGACAGTATTGTATATGGATCGTGTAAATTTTATTCACATAAACAAATATAGAGACAAATTGAAATACTTTTCGTTTAACGTATCTTCAACTTTTTTACCCAGATTTAAAATAATAAATCACCGTTAAAGAAATGTCAAGTACAGATGTGGATGTAAAAATATCTCGTTCAGTATGATTTATCAAGATTGTAATTGTTAAATGACAGTACTTAATATTTCAACGAAAATATTTACTTTCGATGTCAGTGCATTTTAAAACATAATTAAAGAAACTACACATATCTAATAGTTGTTTCATTCTGGATATTGTATTTAAAGTGCAACACAATATTTGATGAAACTCATGGTTATTGAGTAAATGTTATGCCTTAAACTAATATAATATTATTAAATTTCTTATTTACCTGTGTCTTCATCTGATAATCCACATTACAGTAACTGTCAAAACTTGTATCAGGAATTTGTCATTTATTTCTTCGTATTAAACCAGCAAGAAATTTGAATTCTAAAAAACAGTATCGATCACTATGCGTGTAAAGCATACATTATTGCCTTTATTTAAATCGGCGAACTTTGTTCTATTTGGTACGGTAGCTGTCATATCAATGTAACTACAATTCATACACAAATGAAAAATTTTACGTCGATATTTGATTTACAATTGAAACGACTATATCTATTTATGTATTCAAAAAAAGAATCGATACCAAAACAGCTATTTATAACTCAGAAAACAATCTTCGTGTAGTTTTTAATAGTTGTAAAGTTTGAAAGGTTTTACCTATGAGTCAAAATAAAGGTAACAATGGCCGTATCATGAAGCGTATCGTTTGATTAAATATTTGCTTTATGTGGTTTATCAGTTATTGACGTTAAATAAATGGATTCTCTTGCTATCAAATGCACTTCAAAGTATGATAATAATTTATTATCATATTAAGCTTAATATTATTCTCAAAAGATAAAGTTTAATTGTCCTTAACATATTATTCTTAAATCAAAATGAAAAAAATATATCTGTTTCACTTAAAATGCTTTTGAAATAGAACAACATTTTATTATTGCGCTTTGTATAATTATAGACAAAACTTGGACTATTGACTACCTACATAAGCTCAGTTTTAAAGGGAGGATTAGTAAGTTAATGTTTACAATGTTTATGGGCTATATGTAAGGCAATACATGTTACGTTTTTTCTATTTGAGCTTAGTTAAAAAGATTTCTGAAACAAAGTTAATCCTACTGAAATTAAAAAAAAAACAGATTGCATAAATATTTTGCCAATAGCACGGTTACATTAATCATGCATGTCAGTATTACACATGAAAAGCATTTACTTAAAATTAAAGGCCGTATGAACAAAAACGTTTAAAATTATTTTTACACCAGTGTCCTTGACCTTAACACCAGTGACCCCTTACTCCACAACAAGTTAAAGAATCATTAAAAGTATCTACCTACCAAATATGGAAGACACAGGGAGACAAGGGAGACACAGGCAAAATTTTCATCTCTTATTTTTTTTTTTAATTTTTCATGAATTATTCTGTAAATGACCTCAAAATGAATGAATTAGACAGTCAAAGGAACAAATCTTTTCTCCATATAAAGAAAAAAGGTGGTTTACTAACTTGTCCTGCGTGGGCAGGTTAGAGCGCTAGGATTTCACAAAAATTGTCACAGTGAACTCTGGAAACGTTAAATAACATGTCAAATGAAAGACTTAGACTTGTTTCAATCATACAATATCTGCAATATCTGTTATTGTAACTTCAAGTCACATGACTTGTTTGAAAACTTTCGGTGATTCTGTTGGTGTCTAAATTATATATAAAAAAATATATATTTACGCTTCAAACCCAAAATATATAGAATTTAAACAGAAATTCATGCTGAAAGTTTAAGAAATGTTATTTTAGCGTGATTTGAGTTCATGGGATAATTTTAATATTTTGTCATTATTTTGCCTGAATATCACTTTAAGAATTACAAACCCAAATGGAAATTCTAAATTCAGAATCTTTTTGTTTGCATCTGACTTTTTTTATACTTTTTTGTTATAACTATATTTGAAGCCCTTGGTCCGATGGTAAGGCGCTTCATTTAGATGTGAGAGTTCTGTGGTTCAAATCCCGGTTAAGACAACTGATTTTTTTTCAAGTGTCATTTTAGCGATTTTAACATTGTTCTGAAGACAATAATTTAATATAAATCCAACTTGCCGGAATAGATTTATTTAACCATGCAAGGTCTTATTTTTTAAGTGATAAAAAGGGGAAATAAGTGGGAAATATGGATGGCACAGCTATATAACCTGGCAACAACTTGTACATCATATAAATGAGTAAGTATGGAAATCATAAAGCCATTAATACAATTAGAACTTAAGATATATCCAACTTGTCGGTTTAGGTTAACCCTATCCATAGTCTCGGTGCTTAAAAGGGCAATAACTTTGAAAAAAATTGGAGCAATAGTTATGTAACTTACCAATATTATGTACTTTGTACTGATTAGGAAGTGTGTAAACTATAAAGAAGCTATTGGTACTTGAGAAAAATCTTACTTGCCGTTTTAGTTTAACCTTGTGTAACCGTCTTACAAATACGAGGGTTGTTCGGAAAGTTTTGAGACTGGGTCAATATTTAGCGTTGGAAAAGATAAAATCAAACAAGAGTTTACTATGTATTACTTTAATACCTCATCTATTATAGTGTAAAATTTCATAACAATAGCTTCATGTATACAAAAGCTACAAAGCGTTAGGCACAGACACTACCGGTGACCCGGCGCACGCAACGACGTTATCCGACGTTGCCGTTATTTCCAGAGTTTAACGTCACCGTAGAAAAGTCAACTGCTATAGAGGATATTGAATGAGTGTAAGTTCCATACTGAATTTATTGCACGAGTTGAATAACATTATATTATGTGAGCCTCTGGCGAGCATAATATTATTTTATTCAACGAGTGCGATAAATTCAGTATGGAACTTACATGAATTTAATATTCTATTTATCACATACCCAAAATAAAGACCGTTTAAAGTGAAATAAGAGTCATATTTCATTGACGCGCCTATAGTATAACGCTTACATTTAGCGCTCTTCACACTACGTTTGTATAACGCTAATGACGTCACGTCAAAATATATGCACGGCCGTGCAATACCATATTTACGGAGTCGCAAAATCGGCACGGGTGTGTGATAAACTCCTTTTCAAAGTATCTTCCTTCACAACGTAAACATTTCTCATGCCTCGTAACCCACTTGGCGAATACATTTCTATACCAGTCAGATTTAAATGTTGCAATAATGCTCGAGCGCAGTTCAATTAGGTCCTCAAACCGGATTCCGCACTGAAGCGCGTTTCTTGCAAGTGTCAGTTTATCGTCGATGACGGATGGGCGACCGCTCCTTTCCTTGTCATTTGTTGACTTTCTGCCATCCCGAAACTCTTTATGCCATCTAAATACCAATGGTCGACTAACAGTACGTCCGTTGTTTGCCTGTTCTAGAAGTTGCTTAGCTTCTGTTGGCGTTTTCCCAAGATTAACGCAAAACTTAAAAAAAACACGCTGTTCCTCTTTTGACGGTGTTTCCATAGTCGTTGTCTTGTCGCGCACGTATTGCTATAATGATCTGCGGTAACGGCTTAAACAACTAGCGGAAATGACGTCCTTAAGCTGGAAGTGACGTCATAAAATTTTCGTGACGTTTGGCGCAATTTTAGGGGCTCTTTTTATTCAGTAAGAAAACTTATAACAAGAAAATAGTCCGTGCGCCAGGATGCGTAGACAGGTGTTGCTATGGAAACGATTATGTGCCGTATAGTAACGTTACAACGTTTTAAAGACATAACTCGGATAAATAACATATTAAGCTATAATTTGTATTAAATAATATTCGCAGCTGTAATTAGAAACAGAGAAAATCATATTGTCTCAAAACTTTCCGAACAACCCTCGTAAGAGGCCCGTCTTAGCGAAAATGAAAAACTGGCCATGCCAGATAGTCTAGGTCCGAACTTGATCTAATATACATTTTTATATTTGTTTGTATCAAATCTTGAGAATTTCTAATGTAAAGTGAAACATCTCTCAAATTTTAAACATTATTCAATCTTCTACATCGTACGTTGAAGTCCCGCGTGACTTCATTACCACGATGGAATGGTACGGACTGTTATCTTCGACATCAGATATAAAGTTAACAAATGTCTATGTCAAAAAGTTATTTAATTAGAAAATGTTTGTCAGACGTTTAATAGTGAGTGGCTATCATTATGAAATAATGTACTAGTAAATAAATATATAAAAAATAAATAAATACATGTATACTGGACATTCCTTAATAAATCTTTAAATAATTTTGTTTTGTTTGATATTCTTAATGTGGTCATTAAAAGAACGATTACTACGCTCTCAATTATCATATCATATCTTTTTTTCTATTATACACAAATATTATACATAATTATTCATATATACAGAGAGATAGTTTTAACAAATTCCATTTGAGATATTCATATGTAATAGAATAGCAATATACAAATACACAAAAACAAGGAAAAAACCTTGAAATTAATATCTTTTAAAAGTTAAGAGTATTTTGTCAATTTTCTTTACTTTAATCTTTATTTATAGTATTGATATATTATTTCAAATTCAAATTCTGTTTTAAACTGTTTTAATCACTATTAATATGTTAAAATTCATTTGACCAATTATAACTACATAATAAGCTTCATATATATATATATATACTTCCTAAAATAGTGAATATAACATTTTTATAAAAATATTCTCCTTTGAATTTCGCACTCTTGAAAACATATAAAATTTTCAACCAAAATACATTTACTGCCATCCAAACGACAACAACAACAACAACAAACAAATCAATCTACATTCTGCTTGTTGTCTGCATATATTACTACGCTAATAAATTTTGGACGGACTTTATGTTAATATGTATTTTTAAATGGTATTTCAGATTTGTTAATGTGGCTTTTCATTTAAGCCATATATGTGCTACGTATGTCTGTTATAACTTTGCTATTGCTATATTGTTAAATATTGATATAGACTGATCACATGACCAAGTCTTAAGATTTTCATTGACTGGAGCGCTTTTTGTGGCTTCCTAAAAGTTATCAAATAGGGTGTCGTCACTTGGCATCTTCTTCTCAACCGTAGAAACTTGAGAAGTACTCAAAGCTCAGAATAGCTCCAAAGCTTACAACGAACTCTTACCTGATCAATCCATTCAGACTTGAAATTGATTACAATCTTCTAAGGTACAACTAGTGGAAATATGTTCTATTTGAATTAAAGAAAATATTAACTTACCTTTATTTGTTGGACTTCACGCTATTAAGTACTAGATAACTACAACAACAATTATGCTTAACTTTTTTCACTTTACTTTTACAGTTGAACTCATATAAAGTATGAATAATCACATTATGACAGACCCTAAAAGATGCAATGGTCTTAGAAATTTCCAACGTCATATCCTGTTGTACAATCATTTGTAAATGCTTTAACCGAAGAAGATCTCATTACATAAACTTAGGTTCTCAATTGTCAAGTATTGTCAATGCCGATGACAA